CTTACCCTCTTCAATCTTATTGGCACAAGGAGTTCTTCCCCAGCTGTGGAAAATCTGCCATTGTTCTCCCTTTCCGCAAAACCGGGTACTACAGTAAATGATGCCTCCTATTTCGCCCCATCGCTTCTTACAAAGTGCGCGTTTGCAAATGATGGAACGCCTCGTAAAATCGACGTTTAATGTGGTATTTTAGAGACTCACAAAACAGTCTCTAGCTATGTCAATATGGCTTTCGTAAGGGTGTTCTACCATAGACCCTTACTACGCTTGGATACGTATGTTGTATGCTTTGCGAATAACTCACCTCAGTTATTGCCATATTTTTTGACCTTGGGAGCATATGACACATCTTGTGAGGTATAATATTTTTTGGCCCAGGCCCAATTCTTAGGCCTCCGAGGCAATCTACCATCTTCATTAAGAACTTTTAACGGACAGGGAACATTTTCCCGTGTTAGAGTCAATTATGTTCTTTCCCGGGACTTGTCAAGCTGAAGGTCTGTCCTATGGGATGTGTTCTAAGCACAACACTTTTTCTCCTTGCTTAAAATGATTTGGCCCTCTGTTCTTCCACCCAATTATTTGGTCATCACTCTATGTTGATGACTTCGCTATTGATTGTGCAGGCGCGACTGTCACCTTATTGCAGTTTCTCTCAGCATGCGGTTCGACCGTGTTTCACTTGGGCCACCCACACCATTGGAGTTTAAAAGTTTCAAAGTACCAAATCACCAAATTACTTTCATAGACGCTTCTGTTATCTCGATCATCCTTTGTTCTCTATGGCTCCCGTATCCCCGTACGTGTTATGTCAGGTTTATGGCCTTCTCTTTGACCGTCGGTTAAACCTGGAAAACCTCACCAGGACCTCTCTGAAGGCAACTTGTCACAGCCGGCTAAACCTTCTTAAAACCCTTGCTCATGTTTCCTGGGGAGCTGATGTCGAACTCTGCTTCGCCTACATTCAGCCCTCGTATTGATCGAACTCGATTCTGGTGACCAGATTTATTCCGCGGCCTATCCTTGCTACTCTCATCTAGCTTAACTCTATCCATCACCAAGGGCTTACGTTTGTGCCCCCTTGGTGCTTTTCGCTCTTTCCATGTTGAGGAGCCTCTATACAGAAGACAAATGTTCAATCATTGTCTGTTCGCCGTGTGCCCATTGCTTCGTTACTATGTACGCTCTCTCGATTACACAAGCCTTCCATTTATATGAATGGTTCACCGTTATTAGTTTGACATTCTTTATTCGTTCGCCGCCCTGTTTGCTCCGTCCCTTTTCTCTTGCTACATTCACTCTTGTCTTCCCTTCAGTTACCCCTTTTTATGTTCTTGTAGCATCTCACTTTTCCCTACCCCATGGGAAGTTCCAGCTTGTTCGGGTCTTGTCTTTCTCACTCCTTGCTCGGAATGTTCACTGCCTACGGTGGTTCCGCTCTCTTTTTCTTGATCACTTCCACATCCCATTCTCCATGCCACCCGCCTGTGTACACAGATGGCTCTAAGTTATTCAGCGGCGTCGGATTCGCCGCAGTGTTTCCGGACAGGTCGTACGAGGGCATTTACTATCTTCAGCTAGCATTTTTACTGCTTGATCTGTATGCCATTCTTGCAGCACTTATTCGTATCGCATTATGCCTGTATCCATCTTTGTAGTAGTCTCCCGACTCTTAGTGCTTACAGGATATACGAAAATTTTGATACCATCTCATCCCATAGGTTTCTCCGTATCAAACATTGCTACGCACGTATCTCTACCAAACTTAAAGATATTGGTTTTTTTGTTGGGTCCTGGTCTTGTCGACGTACTGGGCCAATGATACAGGCCGACACTGCTGCGCGGCTCAGCAGTATCTCGACTACCAATTTCCTATCGAGGTGTCCATTTCTGGAATATTTTGCTGCAATAGCTAACCAACTTCGCACCCGTTGGCAAACAACGGGTTGGTCGACTCTGCTCGGGTAACAACTTTTGCTATTTAAACCGAGCATAGGTTACTGGCGTCTTCCTTGTCATGCAGTGCCGAAGTTGGGAGACCACTCTCTCCGCATTCGCATTGGCCACACGCGTCTTACTCATGGGTATCTCATGGAGCGGCAACCTGTCCTCTCTGGAGCTGTGTCAAGTTCAGTATCGATTTAGCCAATTTGTTTGGACTGCCCTCTCTATCAACGAGGCACGCAGAATTTACTCCAACGTCGTCTTCGTTATACTACTCTCTCTTTACCTTCCTTCTTGCTGATGGACCCTCTTTAATCCTGACTCATCTCATTGATTCTTGACAACGATGATTTACTCACAAAACTCTGATGATTCTTTTCGCACTCCCCTCAGACTTTCTGAGTTCGTCTCTTGCTGGCCCTTAACCCTTTCACCATCCCACTGCCCGCTGTTATCCGTAACCTGTTGCTATCCATCTCCCTTTTGCCACCTGATGCCCGCATTCCTTCCTGCCCTGCAGCGCTGTATAGTCCCTTGTGGCTTAGCGCTTCTTTTTGATTTAATAATAATAATTCATATAGTCGAAAAAATTGAGTCCTGGAAATGGGAAGTACAATGCCTGCCTTTAAAGGAGGGGTTTGGGATATTGGCAGTTTGGAGGATTATGTTGTGTATCTTTATACGTATATGCTTGTAAAACTGTTGTATTCTGAGACCTTTGCAAAAAAACAGTGATAATGTGTGAGGGTGGTGAAAGTGTTGAATGATGATGAAAGTATTTTCTTTTTGGGGATTTTCTTTCTTTTTTGGGTCCACCTGCCTCGGTGGGAGACGGCCGACTTGTTGAATATATATATATATATATTATATATATATATATATATATATTATATATATATATATATATATATATATATATATATATATATATATATATATATATATACAGTAAGATCACAGTAAACAGGTGATTTCAAAATATGCAAAACAACCACTGTGAAAGAATAGAGAAATTCCAAGCGCTTTCGTGACTACTCACATTATCAAGGAACAATGAAAGTAAAGCATCAAAGGAAGGTATATAAAGAGGTAGCCCACACCTCACTATCAGATCCCACAACAAAGAAACACCTGACGCGAGACAGCAGGCCCGCCGGCCGAACTAGACAGGTCCTTCACACAACCCACCAACAAACTATTCTACCCAAGAAATAAGAAATGTAAAAAATTATTATTTGTCCGAACTAGACAGGTCCTTCGGACCTGTCTAGTTCTGCCGGCGGGCCTGCTGTCTCGCGTCAGGTGTTTCTTTGTTGTGGGATCTGATAGTGAGGTGTGGGCTACCCCTTTATATACCTTCCTTTGATGCTTTACTTTCATTGTTCCTTGATAATGTGAGTAGTCATGAAAGCGCTTGGAATTTCTCTATTCTTTCACAGTGGTTGTTTTGCATATATATATATATATATATATATATATATATATATATATATATATATATATATATATATATATATATATATATATATATATATTATATTTGTCGTGCCGAATAGGTAAGACTTGCGATTTTGACTTAAATAACAACGCTCTTCTTGCTGAATAAGGCAAGCGAAAATTTGTATATACAATAATTTCGCCAAAATCATTCTGAACATAACGAAAAAAAAAATTTCATTGTGTTTGTTTATTACTAAATTATTGTAAATTTATCTAAAATATATTTAGTTGGATTAGGCAAAATTAAATTGCGATCGTTACAATAAGGTTAGGTAAGTTTTCAAAGGTTCAAAATTATTAATTTTTACTTTAGCATAAATGAAAAAATATAACTTAAAACGTATGAGAAAATTTTTAGAAAGTCCTTAATTTTAAATGAGTTCTTGCTAATTGACCAGATTTATCTATTCGGCATGACATTATATATATATATATATATATATATATATATTATATATATATATATATATATATATATATATATATATATATATATATATCGTGCCGAATATGTAAAACTGGTCAATTAGCAAGAACTCATTTAAAATTAAGTCCTTTCTAAAATTTTCTCTTATACGTTTAAAGATATATTTTTTTTATTAATGTTAATGTAAAAAGTTTTAATTTTGTCCAAAAGAATCTTAGAAAACTTACCTAACCGTATTATAACAAGAACAATTTATTTTAGCCTAACCCAACTAAATATATTTTAGATTTGTTTACAATAATTTAATACTAAACAAACACAGTGAAATATATTTTTTTTCGTTAGGTTCAGAATGATTTTGGCGAAATTATTGCATACACAAATTTTCACTTGTCTTATATGGCAAAATGAACGTTGCTATTTAAGCCAAGATCGCAAGTTCTGCCTATTCGGCACGACATATATATATAATATATATAATATATATATATATATATATATATATATATATATATATATATATATATATATATAATATATATATATATATATATATATATATTATGTATATATATATATATATTATATATATATATATATATATATATATATATATATATATATTATATATATATATATATATATATATAACACACACACACACACACACACAACACAAAACAACCACGTGGGGAGTAGAATGCTGGCTCTAGGCCTTTCGTGTTGCAATCAACACATCATCAGGAGCTTGCAAAGTTGCAGAAAAGAGGAGGATATCCAAGCAAATACGGGAGTGGAAATTTTAAGTATATAATGAGAGGTGTATTCACGTATATAAATATATAATGATTAATGTTTCATAATATTTATTTCACAAGCTAATATATCCTTAACTTACATACACTATTATTAGTTAAGCAAACCTAGCATTTGTAAGGTAAGTTTACCAGCTACAGTCTTCATATCATCACTTTTTATCTTGCTAATATATAGCCTTGTTATTAATACTCTTTACATTTGCAATGTACTGTCATTATTGATGTAAGTTTAGCAGTGTCATAAACAGCCCAGGAATTTACCATAATTGTTTTATCCAAGTGAAGTGAGTGCGTCTTGCATGTCTCTGCAGAAAGTTTCAGAGTTAGAGATCCGAGACTTCGCCAAGACCCAGTTGACGTTGCCGGATAACTTCGACCCGTCCGATGCCATGAACTGGCAGCACACACTGTACTCTCGCCTCGGTGGCGGCCGACAACCTCGAGAGGACGAAGACGACAAGAAGCTGGTTCCGACCGTCGACGATACCGTCTACCGCATCGTGGCTATGGCTAAAGTGCTCTACGGTCTACACATCGTGAGTTCCTTCAGTTCACTAACACTCCCAACCTGCCTGTCGCAAGTCTTCAGCAGTAGTGACATATGACGCTTAGTGGGCGTTGTCACACCTCCCTGCTTCTCCTTCCACCCCCCGACCCTGCCCTTTTTTGACGCCTTCACTTCCCTTTCCCTGCCTTTATGTATGTCTTTCTGTGTAAGTTTTTTGTGTATGTGTCTTTCTGTGTATGTTTATTTTTTGCAACGTTCACATTCTTGCCTACCTACCTACTACCTTCCTTCCCTCATTTTTTCATTACTTCATTCTTTCCTCCATTCCTTCCTGCCTCTCTACCTCCCTTCCTTCCTTCCTGCTTGCCTGCCTGGCATAGGTAGAATGTAGACACATTGTGTTTACATCATTATAGCGTAGAAACACACATTGTGTTCACGTCATTATTCACCCTTCACGTCACTGCTAGCTCTTTTCACATTACTTTTTTACACTTCACATGCCTTACATCACTGTTCACACTATATACACTATTCACATAACCTTTTGTAAGTACTGCTCACATCACAGTTCACACTATTGTTTGTACTGTTCATACAACATTTTGTACTACTGTTTGCAGTGTTCAGATCACTGTTCATACTACTATTTGCAATGTTCACATCACGGTTCATAACACCGCACTGTTCATATCATGGTTCATACTACCATTTACACTATTCATAATGCTGTTTGCAATGTTGACATCATTGTTCATACTATTGTTCACACTGTTCACATCACGGTTCATTCCTCAATTATTGCTGTTTGCACTGTTCGTACTACCATTACTACTGTTTGCACTGTTCACATCACTGTTCATACTACTGTTTGCACTGTTCACATCACTGTTCATACTGCTGTTGTTTACACTGTTCACATCGCTTTTCATGCTACTGTTCGTGCCACTGTTCACAAGGTGCACATCACTGTTCCCACCATTGTTCACTGTAGTATTCACACTGTTCACGTTAGTTTTCTCAGTGTTCATGCTAATGTTCGTAGTGTTCACGTTAGTGTTAACAGTGTTCACTGTAGTGTTCACAGTGCTCATTGTAGTGTTCACAGTATTCACTGTAGTGTTCAGTGTTTACTGTAGTGTTCAATGTTCACTGTGGTGTTCCTTGTAGTGTTCACAGTGTTCACTGTAGTGTTCACAGTGTTCACTGTAGTGTTCACAATGTTCACTGTGGTGTTCCTTGTAATGTTCACAGTGTTCACTGTAGTGTTCACTGTAGTGTTCACAATGTTCACTGTGAATGCTACAAGAGTTCCTGCACATGGTCTTTGCATGTATTTTATTCTTCACCCTCCCATGACATTTTTATTTATCATTTTTTATTGTTGACGTGTTTATGACATGTGAATAATGACTCCGTATATTTCTTTCATAAATTCTCCTTTACGTGGTATTTATTGCATGTATACAAGTGCCATATGAATGTACATGTATGTGTTGCTTCGTGCACATGTTATCCTGTTATATCTGTACGTAGCACTGGGCACTGCCCTACATGCACCTGTTACATCTGTATGTAGCACGGGTTACTGCCCTAGACCTTGTACTAGCTACACTGTGTACTGTCAGCAGGTAAGAGGAGGACACACCACTACTCAACACTAAGAAAGTGCCTTAGTTATTCGACACTAAGAAAGTGCCTAGTTATTACTCGACACTTAGAAAGTGCCTAGTTATTACTCGACACTCAGAAAGTGCCTCGTGGAAAGCAAAGATTGAGACAAACCTTGACTTACAACTAAGTAAGCTCTGGTCTCTGCCTCTTTTAAAATTATGAGCTCTTCGTGAAGTCTTTTGCAGTCTGTCTGTCTGTCTCTGTCTCTCTCTGGTTTATCATTCTTCATGGCACGACTTCTTCCCATGTTGCTTCCCTGAGTGAGTTCTATGTACTACTCAACGTCCTCCAAAGATGGATACTTCAAAAAAGACGTTTTAAAATAAAATTTTATGCAGCTTGTTCTTCAATTTTCCCTTCAGACACTGAAATCTTTATGCTTGACTGCAAGTACTTCTGGCAGCGTGGCAGACACACAGATGATAATCATACTAAATGCAAAATATGTGGCCAGTTGTATGGTCACGTTCTTGAACACAGTTTTATTGTCCACTTTTTGAGAAATGTAGATAAACAGAATAATAACCTATGTGATGTTAAATTATTTTATTAATGATATCAGATATATTAAGTAAATATCCTTAATGTGCTTGCAACAGATAAGACAACTGCAGATATATATTTGGATATATTCTTCTTAACCCTATTGGGTCCTAGTTCTTATGAGACCTTTTGCGTATCCATATGCTCTTACGATACCGTCCACAGGATGGATATGGGGCGCACTGACTAGCCGCTTCGGCGGCAAAATCTAACTACCTTTAAGACACTAGCCTACTACTTTCAGATGTATAAGATACAAACGTCAAACCTACACTGGTAACAGGTAGTGAAAGAAAATTTAACGATTTACTTACCTTTATATTCCATCCGTCGCCAACGATTCTTCTCTTGCTCACTATTACTCTTCATGACTTTCTCCTTTTCCGGCATTTTTACAATAATATGCAATACCGACAAGCTGATGAATCAGACACGCGCAACATCTGAGTTTTTGTATCTGAAGACATTTCTCCAGCCAGTGTCTTTTTACAGTTCAATGTAGAGACTATATGCTGAAGACAGTTTTTTCTTTATTCAGTTAAAAAAAAAAAACTGGTTGGCAAAACGTTTCCAAAATAAAAGATATTCACGTGTTGCACATATGTCTAATTCATCTTTTGGTATCCCTCGGTTCGAGATTTATCAAGTCTGTCTTTGTTATTTCTATACCGGTATTAATGTCAACACGCACACTCCGTTATATGCCTGAAAACTTCCTAATATTTGGCTCATTGTGTGTTGGGGAGGGGAGGTAAAAACGTTTTTATTGTGGCCGGTCATTAACAAGGACACATTTCTTATGTTGGTTGTGAGTGGTGAAGCTTCCCTCTTGTTGTTGCCACGTTTAGTAACGTTGGTGCGGCTCGACAGATTGATCACCCGCAGACCTCCAAGGAGGTGTGGCGTTCCGTTGTATCTATCCAGCGGAAGCGTGCTGTCATCGCCTGCTTCAGACAGACTTCCCTCCACATGATGCCAAGGTACCTGGGTTTCCAGGGACTGCAGCTCCTGGGCCCAGTGTGTATTGGTGATGCTGCTGCTACCGCTGCTGCTCCCTCCTACAACTGCTTGCAAAGTCTTAGTAACCAATAGCGCATTCTATATTATCACACTCATTAAAAAGATTTACGTTAATATAAAGTAATCACTCTTCAGCATTTCGAGTTTTCAGATTAATCATGATATAACACTGATGCATTTAAGTTATTGAACAAGAGACTTTGACGCAGTTGCTTGCGAGTTTGAACCACCATTGTTGCATGACCATTGACCACTTAATTACCCAGAGAATGTGACCTGTGTATTAAAACTTGAGTGTGACAGTGAATTACTGCATCATGACTATTATTTCAGCTTCTTTATAAATTGTTGTACATTATTATATTTTACGCGCATGATTTTATTCCAAAATTATCATACATTTACAAATGATTCAAATATTCTTCATCGTTTTTCTATAAATATTCAGTTATTTTTTGTTTCTATATATATGATCATTCCAGCCAAATAACCAAACTAACTTTACATTGAATTATATTTAAATACAATGGAAAAAATCAAACAGGCCTGTGTGATCAACGTTTCAATTTTTTTTTGACTTAGTGGCAATATAACATACTAACGTGAGTTACTTCAGTAGATAACCAGGGAGACACAACCTCACATAATGTATAGAGTGTGTGTATATATATATATATATTTATATATATATATATATATATATATATATATATATATATATATATATATATAATATATATATATATATATATATATATATATATATATATATATATATATATATTATATGGGTTAGGGGTCTTTTAATTAACATATTGGTCTTGTTGACCTTAAGAGGAATAATTTGTTTCTCCTCTCCTCTTAAATTTTCATTGATTTGCAAACCTTTTAAAGTTATCCTAGCAGACGGACGTGCTCGTAAACAGTATGAGCTGACTGCTTTTGCCTGTTGTAGTCTGTCATAGTTGATAAGTGTGAGGTTGTGGCTTGCTGGATGCCCCACCCGCGTAGTGTCTGAATCCAGGGCCACCCACTCTCCTACTACTGCTAGCGTCTTCCTCTATTTTAGCATTCGTGTGTGTGTGTCAGATTTCGTAATGCTGACATTACTTCTCAGGCGTGTGTGAAGTGACAGGGAAGGTGTTAGTGTGGCGGGTAGGTGCTGGTGGTCCCTCAAGTGTTGATGCTCCTCGCCACCCACCTCTCTTAACACTACTCAACTCCTCGCTTCTCCACACTCAGGCTCAGTCTTCGCTCACTTCATTCACGCTATTTTACAAACTTCAATAACTTCTGCACATTGTATTATTATTCAAATCATGGCAAGCGTGTGAGTGAGAGTAAGTCGCAGAAGAGCTCTTATGGAGAGTTAGGCTGGTGGGTAGTTTATAGTGATGGGTGGCGGGAGGCCTTGTTATGATAACTGTGCTACCAACTAACAGCTGGTGCTGGCGGCCTACAGGCCTGCACTCCCCCCGCCTCCCGCTCGGGTTGGAGGAAGCTGCTGTCTTTTGCCCGCAAGCGAGCCGCCATCGCCTGTCTGCGCTCCGTTCCCTTCTATAACATCCGAAGGTAATGGGTCGAAGACACTTCTTGAGCCCTGGCCTTCCCTAGCTCCCGGCTCACTCTCTCGTCGAAAATATAAGAAATATTTCCATGTCTCATTTTTGTTTTAAATTAACTTGTATTGCAAACTAGACTATTAAGACCTGTTCACGAGGGATAAACTGGTATTCTTAAGCATTAATTTACCTATTTAACGCAGCAATCACATAGTCAAAAATGCATAGAGAGAGTTAACCCAGGAGCAATGTTATAGTTAACCCAGAATTAATATTATAACATTAAGTTTCTCATTCTCCTATTGTTGCCAAACCATAGTTTGTATGAAACTTGTTTCAGTCACTGTAATTGGTTAATAATTTCGACGCTTGTATGACTCTCCAGCCTCGCAAGAAGCCAAACCCGCTTCTTAACACTAACCATTAAATTTAGGTCGTGTACACCCAGATGTGTATCTGTGCATATACGACGAGTTTACTTTATTCTCTTTCTTTTTAGAGATTAAAGTATCCTTGACTGGTGGTGTATAGCTGACAAGCAGCCTTAATGACCCTCGTGTAGTGGAAAGGCTTTTAAACTGACATACCAGAGTACTGGATACCCTCACAATGTTACAAATCCGTCTGCACCCTGACAAGGGTATTAATGCATAATTTTAACAATGCCACGGATTTTCTTGATAAAGCCTTATGTGAGGTTTCTATTACCGTATTTACACCCGAATGATCCTCGAGTAACGTGTGCAAATATTTCCTCCTGGGCCACGTCAGTGCGCAAATCGCTGAATGTCTTCCTAGCTCCGCTAGGCTGAACTCACATTCAAGGAAGGGGCAAACTTTGATGTTGTGAAAGGCTCTTAGACCAAGAATATAAAGCTATTCTCCCTTTCCTTGGATGGTACCTGATTACCTCCCACTCCCCAGGCTCTATATGACTCCTACGAGTAAAGCGCTTCCCCATGAATATAATAATAATAATAATAACCCCAACCTAGGTTGTAACACAACCATAGTGCTCTAGACTTACAGCAGCGTTAGGGAGACCCTCAACGGTATGCCAAAGTCACGATATTGTGTCTTTTTGTTTAGTCATGACCCAAATACATGTGTGGTGGTACCATACGTGCGGGTTATGCCTAGAGGAGCTGGGAGGTATACAAACATCGGTACAAGCCTTGACGTGGCTGATTTGAAAATATCTGTATGTTACTGGGCACCATTCAGGTTGAATTCATCCATAGAAACGTGTAAAGCTGTAGCATAATAATCAGAGGCACTGATACTAATACAAGCATATCACCCTTGTCAGAGTGAAGACAGTTTCGGGATAATGTTAGTCTCTCTTACAATTAATTCACTCTTACATTGTCTTGGCACAGTGGTTGTAGTGTTGTGTCAAGGGTTTGGCCTAGCAGAGCTGGGAAGAAATATAAGTATCACACTGGGCCTTGACGTGGTCCTCGCGAAAAAAAATTACGTTACCTGGGGACCATTCAAGTCTATTATGCTGGCAGCATTTAAATATTTACGTAGAGGTGATATGATTGTTTCATGACTTGAAATGGAGTTATGCTTTTAACGTGTCTGTGTTGTCTTACTACCTGACAGAAGGTAGTAAGATGTAGCTTATTTGTTTTACCAGACACGATCACCAGACCCTCAGTTCTCTTAATTAACTTGGAAAAAGTTTGTGAGCTGCTTCCATAGATCATCTATAAAGCTACAGGAAATGATACGGTTTTAAGGAAGATTTTTTTTTGGCATATTATAACAGGTATTTTACAGTTAAAACTATTCTTTTCTTTCTCTTCGTCGGATCAAGCACTAGATGACCCCCAAACGGGTATAACGTTTCCCATTAAACATGATAACCGTTCCTAGCCTCTGTGCTACAAATGGAGTTGATTATTTTCCAACTAATAATCAGAAACCCACAAACAATCGGAATTGCAGCTTAGTACTGAGCTACGGTGGTTCTTAGGTAGTGGATGCTTGTTATTTTTGCACATTTCTGCGTCTCATTGCCCTTCATGCCTCTGAGATAGGCGATCCGAAATTTCTTAACGCTGAATTCGTACAAATATATATTTTTGAAAACATTGCTATGAAAATCAAATGAAACCTAAATCAGTAGTTGCTATAAAGAACCAGTAATATTTATGAATATCTGAATCCTTCAGTTTCGGTAAGATTTGTTACCCTTATGTCCTCAGAGGAATTGTATGGCTTATAAATCACTTAAACCCTTTGTCTATTCAGCTGTTTAGCATAAAATGTTGCTAACAGCATTTTTAATTTTCTGTCACAATTAGCATTTCTCAGCTAACTTAACAATTTCCTACTACCGATAGAAATATGCCGAACTCGTGAATAATTTTGTTATAAAAAGATACAATATGATAAAAACAGTTTTACGGTTATTATTCGCAGTTCAAACTCTATCCAAATTTTGTCCTAAGTCATAGGCTATAAACCACAGTAAATTCTGAGGTAAAAGGAAATCTTCCCGATATATACTCCTGGAAAGAGTTGCTGGGTTTTGCCATTCGCTAAGGCCTCTCGAGCCTTTCCACCATGGTAACGTTACCCAACTACCTGGTAGAGGGCTGAGGTGGCGCACCTAATTTCATATATACATATAGTTGATATAAATACAGTAAAGGGGTCTATGCAGCTCACTAACCAACACAATCGAGATAATCAGCAGACATGCGAATTGTTTGTCTGGTATTACTCAGACGTCAGTTTCTGGTGACCGTGTCTGGCCTCAGCCACGAGCCTTAACATCTTGGGTCTCAAGGCTGAATGTAACCTAACCTTTCGACTTACCTCACGCCCGCTGGTGACGAAGACCTCCCAGGCCCCAGAGACCATGCCAGATCGAAAGTTACCACCAACTGTGCCAAAAACTTCAGCCTTAAAATCCAAAATGTTCGAGAATGTGAATGCGGCCTGTGGCTGTGTTTGCTTTTTTATTTTATTTTTGCTTTCCATTTTATTTTTTTATTTTAATTTTTACTTCCTTTTTTTAAGAGTACAGTACTGCTTCATTGTGTAACAGTACTCAGGTGTGTTCTAGATCATTAATAGTGTTTCTCACTTTGTGTAATGTACTCTTCTGATGTGCTTTCTGGTGTTTTATATGTACACACACACACACACCAACAACAACAACAAAAAAAAAACAGAATCATTCGAAACAGAACAACTGCCTGTGGTGTGGAAGACAGTACATGTAGTGGCACTTTTTAAGAAAGGAGACAGACAGGCAGCATTAAACTACAGACAAGTGTCACTGACATGTATGTAAAGTCATGGAGAAGATTATCAGAAGAATTGGTGGAACACCTAGAAAGAAATGAGCTCATACATGATAACCAGCACGGCTTCAAGGAAAAGAAAAACCTGTGTCACGAACCTACTGGAGTTCTACGACAAGGTAACAGAAGTCAATCGAGAGAGAGAGAGATAATGGGTAGACTGCATTTTCTTGGATATAAGAAAGCTTTCGACACAGTACCGCACAAGAGACTGGTACAAAAGCTAGAGGAGCTTGCATGAAAAGCACTGCAATGGCTGAGGAAATACCAGACAGGAAGGAAATAACGAGGGATGGTACGTGACGAGGTGTCAGGGTGGGCGCATGTGTAGAGTGGGGTTCCACAAGCGGACGAGGATCATGAAAGACTACAAAGGGATCTGGACATGCTGCAAGCCTGGTCCACCAAATGCAAAGTCATGATGCTTGGAGGACAAGGGGACCGCAGATGGAGTATAGGCTCGGGGGTCAAGGGCTACAAACCTCAATGAAGGAGAAAGATCTTCGGATGAGTATCATACCGAGCACATACAACCCCTGTGGCGCACATCAACAAAATAACTGCTTCATCATATGGGCGCCTGGCAAACCTAAGAATAGCTTTTCGACATCTAAGTAAGGAGTCATGCACGATGCTGTACACCGTATATATCAGGCCCATATTGGAGTATGGAACCTACAGCTGGTCAAGCATGTCACTTAGAGAAAATTCAAAAGTTTGCAACAAGATTAGTTCCGGAGCTAAGGGGAGATATGATAACGACGTATAAAATACTGAGATGAATTGACAAGGTGGACAGGACAGAATGTTTCAGAGAAGGGATACAAGAACAAGGAGAGTCAACTTGAAATTGAAAACTCAGTTGAGTCATAGGGATGTAAGAAAGCATTTCTTCAGCCTTAGAGTTGTCAGGAAGTGGAACAATCTGGAAAGTGTAGTAGTAGAGGCAGGTCCATACATAACTTTAAGAAAATGTAAGATAAGATTATTGGAGTAGGGAGAGAGTGGACCTAGTAGCGACCAGCGAAGAGGCGGGGCCAGGAGCTGTGATTCGACCCCTGCAACCACATATAGGCAAGTATAAATAGATGAGTACACACACACACACACACACACATAACTTTCAATGAGTTAATAGCTAAGGGACATATCAACAATAACAAACCTAATATACTCTTTGACAACTAAATCCAAACTGTAAAAAAAAATATACAATTGTGTGTTAATACTATAATAGTGACAGAAATAGAATGGTAAATAAACAGCCCCCAAAAAATACCTTAACATAATGACCGTATTTTTTATAAATCAACATAATGAAAAATGGAAAAGACCGAGATAAAAACAAGGAAGAGATGAGACTACTAATGCAAGGAGAGAGAAAAAAAATAAAAAATGAAATAGTTGATAATAGCAAGACAGAAGCAAACCTTTTATCAAAGTTTGTAAACAAAAAAGCCAAATGTAATACAATACACAAAATTAGTCATTGAAGTGGTTAAGGAAATGTGTGGGATGCGTAATGGGAAGTTTTGTGTGTTTACAGTATGGGATATTGAGGCAACTAAAGAGGAATTACCAGTGAATGTTGAGAAGCAAAAAAAAATTACTATCAGTCTAGGTAGCACCATGGTTTAAAAAATGCAGAAGATTTAAGCTGTTTGCTGTTAAAAAAATAGAGATCGCTTATAAGATGCTGACTCTCAGCATCTCTGACTGACTGACCTCCAGCATCTCCATGATCAGCAGGTCACTGGCTGACTGGCCCTCAGCATCTCCATGATCAGCAGGTCACTGGCCCTCAGCATCTCCATGATCAGCAGGTCACTGGCTGACTGGCCCTCAGCATCTCCATGATCAGCAGGTCACTGGTTGACTGGCCCTCAGCATCTCCATGATTAGCAGGTCACTGGCTGACTGGCCCTCAGCATCTCCATGATCAGCAGGTCACTGGCTGACTGGCCCTCAGCATCTCCATGATCAGCAGGTCACTGGCTGACTGGCCCTCAGCATCTCCATGATCAGCAGGTCACTGGCTGACTGGCCCTCAGCATCTCCATGATCAGCAGGTCACTGGTTGACAGGCCCTCAGCATCTCCATGATCAGCAGGTCACTGGTTGACTGGCCCTCAGCATCTCCATGATCAGCAGGTCACTGGCTGACTGGCCCTCAGCATCTCCATGATCAGCAGGTCACTGGTTGACTGGCCCTCAGCATCTCCATGATCAGCAGGTCACTGGTTGACTGGCCCTCAGCATCTCCATGATCAGCAGGTCACTGGTTGACTGGCCCTCAGCATCTCCATGATCAGCAGGTCACTGGTTGACTGGTCCTCAGCATCTCCATGATCAGCAGGTCGATAGCCGACTAGCTACACCCATAGCACACTCTTCACTGCCACTAAGCTTACTATATATGTTGTAATACAGTATGTATATATATATATATATATATATATATATATATATATATATATATATATATATATATATATAATATATATATATATATAATATATATATATATATATTATATATGTATTATATATATATATGTGTGTCGTGCCGAATAGGCAGAACTTGCGATCTTGGCTTAAATAGCAACGCTCATCTTGCCATATAGGACAAGTGAAAATTTGTGTATGCAATAATTTCGCCAAAATCATTCTGAACCTAACGAAAAAAAAAATATTTGATTTTGTTTATTTAGTATTAAATTATTGTAAACGTATTTAAAATATATTTAGTTGGGTTAGGCTAAAATAAATTGCGCTTGCTATAATAAGGTTAGGTAAGTTTTCTAAGATTCTTTTGGTGCAAAATTAAAATTTTTTACATTAACATTAATGAGAAAACTATGTCTTTAAACGTATAAGAGAAAATTTGAGAAAGGACTTAATTTTAAATGAGTTCTTGCTAATTGACCAGTTTTACATATTCGGCACGACATATATATATATATATATATATATATATATATATATATATATATATATATATATATATATATATATATATATATATATATATATATATATATATATATATATAAAGAAGCACACTTTTTTAAGTGCATATATATATATAACTAGAGGAACATTATAGCACTGATGATCTTCAACACTACCAATATTTCTGTTGAGATTTTATCTTTTCTTTGTCGTCTATCATTTAGAGACTTTATGACAATATTTACCAGCCCAGGCTAGTAAATGATTCAGTGGGGAAGGCTGAGGCAATTTAAGACTTTCAATCCATGTGGCTGGCTCTCTTCAGCACCAACCTAGGGTAGTCCACAACTGGTTAAGTAGCCGCTGTACTAGTAGTAATTACGCACTATAACACCACGACCAGCCGCTTGTAGTCTTTGTCATTAATATCTGAGCCTCTGCCGTGCGGGTGCGGGCGCCGCCCTCTACTACCACGTACTAACTTGGCATACCAGTCTAACCTGATTCTTTTTTAAACCAACATATCATACAGGCATCGCGCTGTTAATCTTTTCCTGCGGACGTACCGAGAGTACTGGCTGGCTGACGAGAATGTTGGACAGGAGGTCGTCATTGAGGACTTGACGGTGAGTAGACTGCATCACTCATGTGTGACACCTCGTGACATCTGTTAATACCTGATGACACCTGATTGTAAAAATGACACCTAGAAGCACCTAGGTATTGGTGAGATTTATATGTGCATTAGGCATCACATTCTAGGTCAAGCATCATATTCTAAGTCACCTGTGTCATTCTAGGCTTGGCACCACTTGTTAGTCTTACCATTAAATTTAGGCTTGACATTATTTGATAGGCTTGGCTACATCGTACCAGGCTAATATTTATGGCAGGCTTAACATCGCTTGCTATTCTTGATACCATTTGAAATGGCTAGTTTTACTCGCTGGACTTAACATCAAATGCATATGCCTGGTATCTCCATGCGCAGAACTAGCGGAGGCTCGATCTTCCTAGTCCGTTATAATCAAGCTACTTACTCGCTTAATTCTCCCAGTGTTAAATTAGCTGCTGCGGTACTACCATGCTCTCTCACACACTCCGTTATACCATAGAACAATTCGTTCATTTAATAAGACACAGGATATATACATAGAGAGGAGTGGTTTAAAGTGTTCTTGACCCTGAGCAGTTGATAGGCTGCTATAAACTCAGTCAGCAGATCCATCAACCAACCAGTGGTCATTGTCACTATATTTTCTCAAGTATTCTGTTCTTGAAATTTCCTATTGTGTCAAATCTGAATTTGTACTAAATATATTGCAGGATAACTGCTAAGTAAATATATCAGCATTACCTGAATTTGCATTTTTAAGTATTATTCACGACCATCCCCAAAACTGTAGGTGTGTAAGACAGTCATGGACTCTGGTGAAGGGCTCATGATTCAAGGAGTTGGAGCCACCACCACCCCTCCCTTCCTTGGAATAATCCTGATTACCCGTCTCCAAGGTTTAGCGCTTCCCAATGAAATAATAATATTGGTCCAGCGTTATTTAGCGCAAGGAGTGATGGAAGACCTCCTAGTGTATGTACAATCTGTTGATGGCGTTGTGTATTCTGTAAAGGGTGTTGTATCCGCAGCAATCCTTCGAGGAGGCTGAGAGTAAGAAGAAGGAAGCTGAGGAGGACGAGGGCAAGCCAGATCAACTTACTCAGCTGGTAACCACGTTCAGTCATAAGGCAACCACGGAACACACTGGTGTTCTGGCTGAGGACCCCCTCTACATGTCTTATGCTGAGATTATGGGTATGTTGTGTTATGAGTACGTGCTATATCTCATGGGTACGGGGCATCTCGGGTACTGAGCATCTCATGGGTACTGGGCATCTAATGGATACTGGGCATCTCATGGGTACGGGGCATCTCATGGTTACTGGGTATGTTTGGGTACTGGGCATCTCATTGGTACTGGCCATCTCATGGGTACTGGGCATCTCAGTATTTCGAGATCTTTCTTGGGTAGAAATCCTCAACAGCTTATTTAAATATACGGGACTTTTTTCTATTTATAAAATATTGTAACATTAATCACCGTGGACAGTTTTAGTTCGTTTATACCAGTGTATTTATTTGTGTCGAGTGTTTTACTAACGTTCGTAGCTTGAATTTTTAGTATTAATTTTATCATTCTTTAAATTGTATATATGAGTACGTGGGTGTTATATATCATTATTTTTTATTGGCATAAGCGCTAAATGACTTACACAGTCGAAGTGCTGTGTAAAGATAGCAGTTACTACTACATCACCGTTTTCAGTGAATTTGTTGGTACCATTACACAAGGTTAATTAATCATCATGCATAGTGGCTTCATTTACATTATAATCACCACGTTAACCACCATTACTAGTGATTCGAGTGATGCTTCTGGTGTGTGTATGCAGTGAAATAAAAATAATGTTCTACTTTTGTTTAATGAGAGTATTACACACATTATGTGGGTTAAGGTAAACTTTTCTACAATATGTTTTCCTCGACAGCCAAGTCCTGCGGAGAAGAGGAGGAGGAAGGAGAAGATGAAGGAGGAGAAGAAGAAGGAGGCAACGAGGACCCAGCTGCCACTCTTAATGTATGTACACTGATGTTTTTATGCCATTGTATTACTTTGCACTTCAAATAGCTCTTCGTGTTTGAGTGTGTGGCATGTTTAGTGTTTTGTCATATCGTCAGGGTTTGAATAATATCTCTTAATAGTCTCTGTTTACTAATGGACAACAGGTTAAATGCTTTTAGTCTTTTTTATAAAGCCCTGTTAGATTCTCTGCACCTACTCCACATTAAAATGGATCATTAGTGATCGATCAGTAACGTGCTATAAGGTTGCAAATCATTTTATTGGTGCATTCTTGTAAGAGGTTTTGCTTCCTTGCGAAAAATTACTACATTCCTGCCATCTGAAACAATGTCAGTTCTTTGGTTCTTGATGCAGTTAGATTCTACTTTAGGAAGGAAGACTTAACTGGCTTAGTCACTAAGTTTATTTGAGGTTCACGAGGGTAGTGTGTTGAACAGTGATCATGATGTTAGCCTCTGCCTTGCGTGATGATTGTAAATTGTCACTTATTCAAGACTTTCAACCAACTGTGACTTCGGACGTGTTTTATCGCAGAGGAAGGCAGCTTTCATCTGCTTACTTTTGGGTCTTTATTGTAAAAAATTGCTCTGTCAGCTTTGATGGAGGTACTTTTCTGTTTTTTGTCTTGGTCGATGGATAGCGTGGATAACTCCCTGGTTTGTCTATAACAAAGTCTTCCTTTGGAAACTATCAAGAAATCTAGCCACTTTTAGATGCCGATATAAACATGCTTCTGAGGTGAAGCGAAAGACACTCCTGCCATCTGGAGATGGCAGGTAGGTCATTAACATTTGAAAGCTGAACACAGGGAAACATCCGTGGCATAAAAAAAGTCAAAATTTGCAAGATTCGTCCTTGAGAAAGTGTATCATGCTCTCCACTGTTTGTCTATCGAGCGACGTATATATGTCCTCACAAGATATCGAAATACTGTTGTGTGTTTATCAATACACAATGTTTAATGACTAATAAATCAAATAGAAAATTAAAAAAAAAAATTTGAAGTTTTTTTTTTTGGCTCATATTTAAAACTGTACCTTACTCGTATTAACAATATTAACCACTAACAAGACCATGTAACTAATTACCAGAATGCAACGTCCATCTCTAAATATAACCTTTAGACCCCCAGCATTGACCTATCCTTTTTCTTCTTGTACATGCTCCCCCTCGTGGCCGGTCCCGGACCATGGAGGACCTCATGGTAGGTCACAATGTTCCTCAGTACTGAAAGACTGTTACATCATTTAATCATTTCACTAATATGTAATTGCTTAAGTTTGTTAATATTTATTCTGAATAATAGCAATTAATGGATTTATGAAAATTATGGAATCATTTTATATTAAACATAATATATGCATTAACATTGTGGTCGTGAAGTATAGGTAAACTAGTGGGAGGTCTTGCAGGGGTATGGGAGGTAATAAGGATTGATGCTAGGAAAGAGAGGGTAGCTCCATGATTCCGAATCAAGAGCTCATTTCCAGCTTCAAAGAGCACCCACTGAATTAAGTAACAAAACCAAGGGAATAAAATTAGAAATACTTTCATTATTTTTCTAAATTTAATGTATAATGTATTTACTTGGCATTGTCACTGAGACGCTGTCAATGTGCGTGGTTCAAATGGGTCACGTGGCTAAGGCTTGACAGGGAAGCCTACCTATAAATGGGATTAACACAATATATACTACACAAGTATTGGACTGTTTACTAGCTGACGTAACACTGTGGTCAACAGGAACAAGAACTGGAGAAGCAGAAGTTACTGTTCCACCAGGCTCGTCTCTCCAACCGTGGTGTAGCAGAGATGGTGTTGCTGCATGTGTCAGCCAGCCGGGGCCAGCCAGGAGACATGGTCATGACCACACTCAAGCTGGGCATCGCTATCCTCAGAGGTGGCAACGTCGACTGTCAGGCAGTAAGCTTATTAATACCTGCACACTAGTACACATAGCAGCTTACACCTACGCACTAGTACAGAAATCATGCTCACACCTACACACTAGTGCATACATCATGCTCACACCTACACACTAGTGCACACATCATGCTCACATCTACACTAGTGCACACATGCTCACACCTACACGTTAGTGCATACATCATGCTCACACCTACACACTAGTACACACATCATGCTCACACCTACACATTAGTGCACACATCATGCTCACACTTACAATAATGCACACATCAATCTCACACGTACGCTCTAGTACACACATTAGGGCGACACTGCACACATCATATTCACACCTATACATGTCTATGCACATACGATACTCATACCTTTATGATCAGAATGCACCATTGCTCATGCCTTCGTAAAACATGCTCACACCAGCTTCATGCTCCCATCTCATGCTCTCCTTCCTTCCCATCCTTCCTCTAAAGTACTAGTTGATCATTCTGCACATTCTACCGGCTACTCTACAGTACAGACTGTTAGCCACACCTCCAGTCAGGTCTTATATAGCAACTTATCTTCACCTAACTCTTAGATAGCAACCTGTCTTCTCTTAACTCTTAAACAGCAACTTGTCTTCTGTTAACTCTTGGATAACAGCCTGTCTTCACCTAACTCTAAGAGAACTTGTCTTTAGTAAACTCTCACAACTGTGTTGTTACTCAGACTATGCTGAGTTACCTCAAGGAGAAGAAGGACGCTTCCTTCTTCCTCTCCATCGCCGGCCTCATGAACTCCTGCTCGGTGCTGGATCTAGACGCCTTCGAGCGCAACACCAAGGCCGAGGGGCTAGGCGTGGGCGCAGACGGCTGCGCAGGCGAGAAGAACATGCACGACGCGGAGTTCACTTGCGCTCTCTTCCGCTTCATCCAACTCACCTGTGAAGGCCACAACTTGGGTGAGCAGTGGCGTGGGTTGGATGTGTTTTCCGTTCCCTCTCCCCACCACCACCTCACTAATCCACCTATGAGGTTTTGTATCTCGGGAGGAAGTTGATGATGCTCTGTACAGCGAAGTGGACAGTTGCAGCAGTTGATGAGGTGGTCACAAGTTGGTAGGAGCTCGCTAGTGGAAGTAGGTCAGGCCTATAATGAGGATGTGTGTACTCTCTATTCATAAAGTTGTGTGTACTCACAGTTGTGAGGATGTGTATACCCACACTCATGAGGATGTGTGTACTCACACGAGGTATGTACTCACACATGAGGATGTGTTCACTCACACTCATGAGGATGTGTGCTCAAACTCCTGAGGATGTCTACTCACACACACATAAGGATGTGTGTACTCACACTCATGAGGATATGTGTACTTACACTCATGAGGATGTGTATACTCACGCATGAGGATGTGTGTACTCACACATGAGGATGTGTACTCACTCATGAGAATGTGTACTCACACAGGATGTTTGTACTCACATGAGGATGTGTGTACTCACACTCATGAGGATGTGTGTACTCACTCCTGAGGATGTGTGTACTCACACAAGGATGTGTGTACTCACTCATGATGTGTGTACTCACTCATGAGGATGTGTACTCACACGAGGATGTGTGTACTCACGAGGATGTGTGTACTCACACAAGGATGTGTGTACTCACGAGGATGTGTGTACTCACACACACGAGGATACAGTATAGAGTGTGGATGAGGTACATAGTGTTATCACAATATACAGGGTGTGGCACCTTTAAAGGCTCAAGGTGAAATTAATGAAAGCTTCTACCTTTTTTGAACAAAAATACATTTAGCATAAACCTTAACGACCTTAATTTTACTGAGTGAACGATCTAGACCTTAATAATGTTGGAAAACAATGTTGCAGACTGGCAGAACTACTTGAGAACTCAAGCTGGCAACACCACTACTGTGAATGTAATCAACTGCACTGTGGACTACCTTCTGCGTCTTCAGGAGTCCATCATGGACTTCTACTGGCACTACTCCTCCAAGGAGATCATCGACCCAGCCGGCAAGGCTAACTTCTTCAAGGCTATTGGCGTCGCCAGTCAGGTGCCTTAGACTCTCTTTTTTAAGTATTTTTTTTTTCATTCCTAACTGAATGTAATGTGTTATGTTAAAATTAAGTGGAAAAACTAAGAGTTAATGACAAAATCATTTAAAGAACTGAGAGTATTAAAACTATGAACAAATTAAGAGATGTTAAATCGATTTTTAACCAGAAAATCAAAACAGAGTTTTCGTACAAACTAAACAAATTTTAGGTTTATTTTTTTAACAAAGTTTTTCTTGACACAATAGGCAGCTATTGCTAGGCTGTCGATAGCTGGCTCCCCTTGATTAAAATGAACATTTTCTTCCTCGGGCTAAGTAAAACACTGTCTTGGGTTTATCAGTAATTTTTGGAGGGCGAGCTTCCTTACGATGCCCTACACAGTGATTTATGGGAAATCTCCAAAAGTAATTTGTATTTATTATACTCGCATCAGATTGTATATATACTAACCTGTGGATCTCAGTGATACATCACCACTTAGTATTTCAGTGAAACATTGGCTTACACTCACTTATCAGTAAGGTCATGACGACCAGGCTACCTGGAGTTCATTACCTTTGTAAATTGTGAGTTCATTACCTTTGTAAATTGTGAATTCATTACCTCTGTAACTTGCTCAGCTATCAAAACTTTGAGGCCCAGTCCCTGGACCCATTATGTACCTCTGTAATCTTTTGACTACCGCCCACAGGATGGGTATGGGGTGCATAATAAACATATTAAACTAACTAACTGACCAGGTTCGTTATTGAGGCTAGGACTTTAGGTAGTTTCAAATTTAGGTTGGATAAGTACATGAGTGGGAGGGGTTGGATTTGAGTGGGACTTACACATCAGAGCTTATTTCTTGGGTAGCATTGAAAATGGGGTTGGGCAAATGTTTTGTTAGTGGGATGAATTGTAAAGGACCTGCCTAGTATGGGCCAACAGGCCTGCTGCAGTGTTCCTCCTTTCTTATGTTCTTATTCACACCTCTCCTCTTTTCCCTCATATGTTAGTATCACACTGTATTACGCTGCAGGTGTTCAACACGTTGACTGAGGTGATACAAGGTCCATGTGTTGGCAACCAACAGACACTTGCTCACTCCCGTCTGTGGGACGCCGTCGGTGGCTTCCTCTTCCTCTTCGCTCACATGCAGGATAAGCTCAGTAAACACTCCTCGCAGGTCGACCTACTCAAGGAACTCTTGAACCTGCAGAAAGATATGGTCATCATGATGCTCTCTATGCTGGAGGGTGAGTCCAGACGAGGCACTTCCTGATATCGATACATATACGTATTTTGCAAACATTTTTTGGTAATTCACGTGAAAAGTGAATAGTTCCATAGCATACACATTTCCACTAATTTATGAAACATCTCATTCTTCATGGGATAGCATACAATTATGTAACGTTTGGATTTACATGAAATAACATTATTTGGTTCTACATTCAGTAACATTAATTTGATTAAAGTGAAACCCAAGAGATATAGGCCCAGTATTTTCTATGAGGTTAACATAATTTTATGTGGCAGGTAACGTGGTGAACGGAACCATTGGTAAGCAGATGGTGGATACGCTGGTAGAGAGTGCTTCTAACGTAGAGGTGAGTCAGTGTTCTCTGTTCACTTTCTGGCCCTTTGGGAGGCTACGAAACTAGTCCCTGGGGCAAGAAAGTGACACTGAGAGTAAACGAGGTGCACGGGGCAAGAAAGTAGTACACAGCTTTAATAATGTACAATGACAAGTTGATGAATATGACCCGTGTGTAACACCTGGGTATCATACTGACTAGATGTTTCACCTGCGCACCAGGATTTTTCAGTCTAATTACAGAGACAAGTTATATACTGGAGACAGTGGAGAAGTAACTTATGAGGTGTTCAGTCCTTCCTCAGTCTTAACAGAAGATGGTCAGTACCCTAGTCTTGTTCAGTCTGAAGTTGAAGCATGAGGATGGAGACTTTATGTACTAGATGCAGAGGAGAAGTGCAGCAGTTGAACACATCGTCACAGGTGAACGGGACCTACTAGTGGGGGTAGGCTTTACCCAAAAGTTGGACTAAAAGTTAGCAGTAGAGTTATGGAAGAAGCTTGCTACGCAGGTGAAACATTTCGTCAGTGAAGATACGTTGGTGTTGCTGAGTCTTATTCAAAGTAGTACACTGTACAGAGGACTTTGTAGAGTTAAGGGGCACGCAAATTCCCCCGTCTTCTAACAACGTGTTCATTTTTCCACTATAATCTACCTTATCCATAATTACTGTCACATTTGCTTTGCCTGTTTCGTAAGGTGAAGTCTCGGATTTTTCCTTAAATTATGGTAAAACTTAACAAATCTTTGATGACAATTGTGTTGCAGTGGTCTGATGTCTGATGACAGTTGTCATCAAAGATTTGTTAAGTTATACCATGAATTAAAGAAAGATCCTAGGCTACACCTTACAAAACAGACAAAGCAAATGCTATAGTAATTTTAGACAAATGGAAAAATGAACATGTTATGAGAAGACGGGGGAACTTACGTGGCTCTTAAGTGATAATGTGGCATACAACAGGATAATTTACAAGCAGCTGTGATTATGAGAAAGCAAAGGGGAAAGCATAATGAAAGTTTAAATTTTAAGATTGTGAGAAGAAAACTGAAATTGTGAGAAAGAGAAAGCTTTGATTGCAAAATAAGAGAAAGAAAATAAAGCAAGAAATTCGAGGGAGGTATAATAATTTACAAATAACTTTCAAACTGGAGAAAACAAAAATTTCAGTGAGGTTTCGGTTTGTTCTGAACCATTGATAAGTCACGACCTGATAAAGGTCTAGAACGGACATCTAGAGACTTATTTCAAGATTTCGGGTTAGTTGTTAATTGTTCTGTGTAGAATAAAAATGTATGCCTACGAAGTAAAGCTTTCCAAACAGTGTTTCAAGGAGTAGTGAGCAAACCAGCAGCCTGACGTAAGCAAGGTAGATGGAAACAGATATAACTAATGTTACATTTTATTGTGGCATCGTTTCGCATCTGTGTCCATTTACCAAACATTCTGTCTGTAATTCTACCATTATACTGACGTAAGCAAGCAGTTCTTCATAACCAGTGATTCATTAATCCTTACAGCGTCATATTTTCCAATTAATGATAGTCTCGGTAACACGAAATGGGATATTTGGTTAGTTAATTGCCTGAAGGAAAGGGATAAGAGTTTTGTTAATCCTAACAAAATATAAGAGCTTTAATAATGGAATGAAAGAATCAAATCTAAACAGATATAATCAGATGTCTCAAGATGTATTACATTATCTTTGATTATTTATTTGGTTACGGTCAGATATTTATATGAGCTTCCAGTGTGTATTGCAGCGTCCATCATATTGTCAGATTTCAGCTTGTATGTGGGCGTCTATCATATTGTGTTAGTTACCATGTTGTAATGGCAGCGTCCATCCATTTTGCGGATGTTCTGTGTATATTTACAGGTTTACCTCATGCGAACTATTTTATATACATGTGCTTTTAGTGGCATAATACGTAATTTTGAAGCTGCAGTAACATTTAATCTATACACGAACAACAAAGTTTGAGTTTAAAAGAATAGCTTTTAGAAAATTGACTCAGTTCGTATAGTTTTGTTTAGTATCAAATCCTTGAGCCACATCATCTGGAAGTGAATGTTGTTTCATACTTATTTAACCAATGTTTTTTCACAGTATAAACAGATGTAAATTAAGTAAGCTGGCTAGGATGACCGAGTGGGTGAAGTACTGTACTTACTGTATTTCGTTTACATAGAGTATCTGGATCCTATAAGGGTGGTTTCAAGCACTTTACTTCACCTGCTGCTAAGAACGTCTGGAATGTCCTACTGTAATCCGCAGTTTATTTTTTTTCTTTTTCAACAGTACCACTGCTAATATTAAGTGTATAAGAGATAAGTGATGCTGGAGAAAGTCTCGAGTTAAAGCAGTGGCTGCATCTCCAAAATGAAGACGAGAGAAGATACAGAATCATTATTAATAACTATTTTATTTACCTCACAATACAGATGATTCTTCGTTTCTTCAACCTTTTCTTGAGGCTTAAGGAGGTGACTTCGTCGCCATCATTTATGGTAGGCGGAAGTCTCCACCCTTTCCTGCTACTGTTCCTTAAGCTGACCCACCCCACCCCAGCTCTCACCAGCCACCTCTGGCCCCCACACCCGCCGTTTTTCCCATCGTGTAATATTTCATCGCTTCTCATATCTCGCACATTATGCCCAATTTGCTTCATTAATTTTAATTCATAGCACGTAGAAGCCACTTTATAGTTATTATGGCCAGTTATATAGTGAGAACTTCGGCGAGAGCTGGTGGCAGGCTATGATAGAAGCCTGGAGTCAGTACGTTAGCCAAGTTTTATATACTACCTCAAGAATTTTGCCCCTTGATAACACCGGCCATGAGTCCTAGGCACGCTATTCTTCCACCATGAATGCTTCTGACCAAATAGGGTGCCTAGCACAAAATCATTTTTAATCCAGAGCTTTCCACAATTTGCTCCCCCTGCTTCCTAGTCCCGCATCGTTTTTGATCCTCCTCTAGTGTATTTTATACATACATTATCTTTTGTTATCCTGGTATCATTGATTTTCCGAACCAGACGTATCACTCCACACTAAATGCCATTCTAACCAGTGAAAGTAGCCTATTACAGTACATCACGACCACTTTTATAAACACCAAGAGCTATCTATGTATCTCGGCGTATATACGCTGAGAGTTTGTTCTAATTTATTTTTTTTTACGAACTGAAGGCTCCTTGATTTAGGGTGTACAGGTGGCACAGCCTCAAGGGCCATCATATAGTCGATTGGCTTTAAACCCAACAAACCAATCATTCTGATGCATCTTCATCTAGTTGGCACCATCCAAGTACCTGTCAGCTGTTGTATTCAATGCCAGTATGATGTGCTGAGCACAATGCAACGGTTGTCCTGAACACAAGACACCTGTCATGCGCTGATAACGATATAATGAAAACCGTCTTTATTAGTCTTCATAAACACGGTCAGTATTATATACATTTACGGTGGGTCAGCATTATGATAAACTAAGATCTACATTATTGAAAATCTCTTTCTCCTTAGTTAATACCACGACCAACGAGTTTATTAATAACAGAAGCATGCAAGCATGTAACTAGCTAGCAGACGGCAGTTGATGGCAGAGGCGTCGTCTCTCAGAATCATCCACTCAACTGTTTGTACTTAATACCTACAGTCACATACATCTTTTTTTCTTACGTATTCGTTTTCCATTCTCTACATTTCTAGCTGATTCTGAGGTACTTCGATATGTTCCTCAAACTGAGGGATCTCACCAGCTCCACTACCTTCCAGGTTTGTACCCACCTCCCACTGCTCACTCACCACGCTGCCCACTACCAAGCTTATTATCACCCTCCTTGATATAGAATGATCATCATTATATGTTTTCAAATAATGTGCGTAGAAAAATGGATATACCAGGGTGAGAATAATCATTATCACGTCACTTGAGCATCTCTGTCCTCCCATAAGACTAACAGTTCATTAAAGTTACACAAACTTCGATAGGATAGGTAAAATATTAAATTGTATGTGAGGTAAAGTTTTAGCAAGATTAGGTTAGGTCGCTAGGTTAGTTTTAATGTAAAATTAAAATCTGTCATAACTTTAATTAACTGTTTTTCTTGGAGGGTTAATCTTCAGATAATATAGATAACCTAAAAAAAAAAAAAGTAAATGTATACGTCTCTATATCGAAATCTTGTAAATTTCTATATTGAGGCCAGACTAATGAGGTGAGAGCGTGGTGATTGCGGCAGCAACACAGTAAAGCCTTCAACACTTGTATCCAACTCACATTACTGTGTTGCTAACTTACTGCATGACGCTCCTCTTTTCATGTCATCCAATTACTTAATTGTGCATGACATTTTTTTGTGCAGACTGTTGCAACATGGATAATATCATTATAACGTGGCTCATTCGTTTATTACTGTTGATTGTAAACAATACTATTTTTCTCCTAGAGTAGCTTTTTGTCATGAAGCACTGAGCCTACTGTTGTTTTTGTTGTTTTTGAACCCATCAGTATCAATTACAGTCATCTTTTATATCGTCACAGGGTGACAATTTCTATACTTTTTTAAATTTTTCAGTAGTTGTTTTTGTGTGATTGTTTTTTAAGGCTTTCAGTACAACAGTTTTTGTTCTTGGTTACGTAATGCTTACTATTTTATGGTAATATTTTGGATTCAGGAGCAGTAGTAAATCATAATAATTTTAAAGCTTTAATTCTGTATTACATATATATTTATATTTGAAATCAGCTTCTCAGTTTTTGAGATTAGGAATGTAATAAAAATTTTTATAATTTTGTAAAGTGATTGTTTTTATATAAGCTTTAGTTCAACATTTTGTATTCTGGTTACGTAATCTTATCATTTGCTATGTAATATTTTGGATTCATGAGCGCAAGTTAAATCATAATAATTTTTAAAAGCTATTATTCTGTATTACATAATACTTTATTGAACAACTCTCAAGTTTTTGAGGATGAGGCGAGAGTATAAACAATCTATTAAATACATGCAAAATTAGTCTGTTTAAATAAAATACCAATTGATTGTCTGGATTTTTTAGGTTTATTTCCTGTGATCTAGACTTATAAATCATTACTATCGCCTATTAACGTTTTGCAAAATTAATTGAGGACTGCAAATTATCTTGGTGCACTGAGAAATTTATTATGAAAAGTGACCTAGTTTCTTTAGGAGTTGACTTAACACGTTGACAGACTCTAAAGTTATTTAGTTGAGATGCTATACATACAAAAGAATAATACACAAAAGGGTAAATAGTAGTTGAGTTGCTTACAAAAAAAAGCTCAAAATGTAAAGGACTGTTTTAATATCCAGGTTTATAATTCATACGTACACACAAGTAATATTCCAAAGGCTTACCCTAATCCTGAATGTCAAGGAATGTTCGAAAATCGAAGAAATTTAGTGTTGAACGTAAATTGTTATCGTTGTAGTCATGTATAAACTATTAAATACTACAATTAACTATGATCAATGTGAAGATTTCCTTTAACGAGTTTGACTTATAAAGGATGGAACAGTATATAATCCTAAGGAGTATCAAGGAAATGATGGAACAAAAATGAATACACTAGTAGATTGTTATCTAAAATAGCTTATCTAAATCATGAGTATGTCGAAGGTGTAGCTTACTGCGATAAACAAATTGTACTATTAGTATAATTGTACAGTTGAGTCAGTGATAAATTAAATATACAGGATATTTAACTGAATGATATTATAATATAAATATAAAAGAATGCCTGCTAAAGCCACAAGGGGCTATATCAGCGGTTACTGAATGTATGCCAAATGTGATCTGTTCACCTAGCAGAATCAAGAATGTTTAGGGTTTACAATGTTTATCTCTCACCAAGGAGACATGATATAATGACCCATATGGATATATATAATAGAATCTGATATATATATATTTTATATGGATGTATATTATTATAAATATCCGATATATAATTATATTATATTATATATATAAATATATATATTATATATAATATATATATATATATATATATATATATATATATATATATATATATATATATATATATATATATATAATATATTATGTATATATGTATAAGCCGGTTTAAAAACCTTTTCATACTCCATCATATTCCAGCTACCTCGAATCAACAACCCTCTCCTCCCACCCCACCTATTCACCCACCCTAACGTGCTCCAAGTCCTTGGATCAAGACTACCCACAACCCATCCCAAAATACTCATAACCACTCTCTCGGTACTACCAATAACTTAATGAATAACTGTGTTTTTATTTCCCTTCATGTTCATGTTCAACATATTGGTTCAGGAAATAATTATTAAGAGGGCTCATTTCTCACTGACTCAAAAATCACCCTTATATTGTCTAGTTTTAAACATTTTATTAGTAAATATTCACCGACACGTTTTTTTTCTTAGTGCTAAGAGGGCGTATTCCTCACTGTTTCAAAATCAACCTTGTATCATCTAGTCTTAAAACATTTTGTTAATGTTTCTGTACATATATCTTTGTTTTCAAGATTCACACTTACATGACGTGTAACCACATACACATGCGACTCCAAGCTACATGTCCACAATTTTGAATATTCCTTATTGTGATATATAAGAAAGACAGAATTTATTTTCATAGTTAAACCTTTATGTACATACCTGGAGGAGGTGTTCGGGAGTCAACGCCCCCGCGGCCTGGTTCGTGACCAGACCGCGGGGGCGTTGACCTTTGCCTTTATACAAAGGAACTTATACAAAGGAACTATGCATGCTCTCTGCCAATCCTTAGGTACCTTACCCTCTTCCATACATTTATTGAATAAAAACACTAACCACTCCAAAACTATATCCCCTCCTGCTTTTAACATTTCTGTTGTATCCCATCAATCCCAGCTGCTTTACTCAATTTCGTTGTGCTCACTGCCCCACGCATATCTCTTTATATGCACCAGAAGTTTATTTTAATTCATACTTCATGCAATGATGAAATATGGTATTAGTATACAAGCACAGGATATATACACCAAAGTCTCTCAGTGTATATACACTGAGAGTTTTAGGAACTAAGGGATTCTCGACTGGTGGTGAGCAGGTTACATGCAGCCTTAATAACGACCCTCTTATAGTCAGTAGGCTTTAAACCCAATTAACCATCCTGTATAGTCGAATTCCAGCATTAATGGTCCTCGTGCAGTCGATAGGCCTTTCAACTTATTTATTCTTAAGATTAAGAAAAATGAGCCCTTTTTTTTTTTTTTTTTTTCTTTCAGTGAGGAGATCAACTTCTTGCTGATGTGTTGTGACTGCAACCATGATGGAAAGATTGATTATGTGGAATTCACTGAACGCTTCCACAACCCAGCCAAAGAGATCGGCTTCAACTTGGCGGTGCTGCTCACCAACCTGTCAGAACACATGCCCAACGATCCACGACTTGCTAGGTTCCTGGAGGTAACCTAACTTTTTTTCTCTCTTTCTGGTCTAATTACACTTCATTATTGTATTCATGGGAAAACGTGGGTTTAGCGCTTTCCCATGGATACAATAATATTATTATGATTATTATTATTATTGGAGGGTGGTTAGCTCGTCTCGACGTGTGGCACACGGATTTCGCATTGTGTTGGTGCTCTGATTGTTTCGGTGTCCTGGGAATGAAAAGGTAGATGCCGAGGTGAAGGATGCTGTACCAAACTTTGCTGTATTTCAGACTTCTGACTCTGCCCACGTACATAGAAATACTTTTGGAAAGTGGCAGGCTTAATTTGTCCTAATAATGAGCAGCATATTATACAGTGCTCAGGTGAACGTGGGTCCTTGACCTTTCCTCCTTAAACAGGAATCATCAGTTTGAGACGAATCTCTTGATTGAGGATTTTGCACACACTCGCACACACACATACATAATTTACCCATAGCCATCTGTTCACAGGTGTTCCTGTGAACAGATGGATGTTCACAATAACACGTTTGAACTCATGGTTTTCATAATTACCGGGGTGCCTGTAGGGATCTCAGGGAACTTTCAGGAGAGGCTTTTGACATTTAACTGGATTTTGAACTGATGATGGTTATTTTTATTTTGTGGTGTTAGTATTTATTTCTGTTTTATTAATGCAAGTAGTCTATTTATTTTATCTGTGCTTCTCTTTTGTGTTGCATATTTTTTTATTGCAAAGAGCGCTGGATGATTTATATGGTCAGAGTGTTCGTCAGATTTGAAAATTGTCTACCAACCTGTGTGATACTGACACACTTCATGGTTTCTTATTCTTTTAATCATGGAATCACGAATATATATTTCAAGAAGGAAGAATGAACATGTCTTCAACGTAGGCAGAAAACTTTGTCGCTTCTGTAATAACTTCACCTATGCATAGTTCACAATAACTACACTTGCCCATAGTTCACAGTACTACACTTGCAGATAGTTCACAGTAACTAGACTTGTACATAGTTCACGGTAACTACAAACTGCTTGATATAAACAAGAAGTATATCTACTACTAAAGAGTGTCTTGTTTGCTGTGTCACTTCAGACTGCTGGCTCCGTTCTCAACTACTTCGAACCGCTACTCGGACGCATCGAAATCATGGGCAGCTCCAAGCGAATTGAACGAGTGTACTTCGAGATCAAGGAAGAGAACATCGACCAGTGGGAGAAGCCTCAGATTAAGGAGTCGAAGCGAGGTTTCTTCTACGCTATCGTGACAGAGGGAGACAAAGAAAAGCTAGAAGCTTTCGTCAACTTCTGCGAGGATGCCATTTTTGAGATGCAACACGCTGCGGCCCTGATGGAGGAGGAGGACGACGCTCTGGCCAAGAAGAATGACGCTGATGCTCTCAAGTATCTCAGTGAAGACGAGGAGGAAAAGTGAGGCCATATATTCCTCTTTCAGTATCATTATCTCATTATTTTTTACAATTCAGAAATGTGAGTTTGTAATATAAAAAGTTTAACGTTCACTGAGTTTACTCATCATTTCTCAGCTACCCACTTCCAAAATATGTATTCTTGTGCCGTATATTAGAATTTGCTGCATTAAAAATATGCACAACCCATGACTGTCTTCAAAATACCACTTGCAGGACTGGCATGGACTTAATCAAGGCGAAGATTGGTGGCGTAAAGAATCATCTTATGGAGACCATGTCTGTATTAGCGCCGTCGAACGTCAAGAAAAAGATTAAGGAGATCAAACAAATGACTCCTGCTGAATTGGCCGTTGGTTTCTGTCGTCTGCTCTTCCTGATAATGTATCACAGTGTCTTCGGTGTCTTCTACTTGTCTCGAAAAGTTTGGAACGCCATAATGAGACTGATGCAGGGACCACCGGTTGAGCAGGTTGGAACTCTCTTTAAAAATAACGCAGCTTATATGCTATACATTTTTCTCAGAGCCACTTTGTTTCTTGTGTATATTACATAGCTATATATGAGGTGTGCTGAAGTTAAGAAACTAAATATACTCATATTGTACGAGCATAACTTGATGCGAAAGACAGAGATATTTTCTGAACGCAAGCTTGCTTGCTTGATTGCTTGCCTGCTGGCTGGCTGGCTGGCTGGCTGGCTGGCTGACTGGCTGATTGACTGGCTGGCTGGCTGGCTAGCTGACTGGCCGGCTTTCTTTCTTTTCCCGAACAGGTATAACATGTTTGAAAATGTAGTTCAACCTCTTATTGTTTGAGACCTTCACTGAGATAATCATTGGTTAGGTTACATCAGTCAAGTCTAGCTAGGTGCTTCATGATCAGGTTACCACAGTCATCATTAACCAGGTGTTTCATGATCATGTTACCACAGTCATCACTAGCCAGGTGCTTCATGATCAGGTTACCACAGTCATCACTAGCCAGGTGTTTCATGATCATGTTACCACAGTCATCACTAGCCAGGTGCTTCATGATCAGGTTACCACAGTCATCACTAGCCAGGTGTTTCATGATCATGTTACCACAGTCATCACTAGCCAGGTGTTTCATGATCATGTTACCACAGTCATCACTAGCCAGGTGTTTCATGATCATGTTACCACAGTCATCACTAGCCAGGTGTTTCATGATCATGTTACCACAGTCATCACTAGCCAGGTGTTTCATGATCAGGTTACCACAGTCATCCCCTAGCCAGGTGTTTCATGATCAGGTTACCACAGTCATCACTAGCCCGTGTTCATGATCTGTTACACAGTCTTCACTGCCCGGTGTTTCATGATCATGTTACCACAGTCATCACTAGCCAGGTGTTTCATGATCATGTTACCACAGTCATCACTAGCCAGGTGTTTCATGATCAGGTTACCACAGTCATCACTAGCCAGGTGTTTCATGATCAGGTTACCCCAGTCATCACTAGCCAGGTGTTTCATGATCAGTTACCACAGTCATCACTAGCAGGTGTTTCATGTCAGGTACCACAGTCATCACTAGCAGGTGTTTCATGATCATGTACCAGTCATCAACTTGCCAGGTGTTTCATGATCATGTTACCACAGTTTTTCATAGCAGGTTTTCATGATCAGGTTACCACAGTCATCACTAGCCAGGTGTTTTCATGATCAGTTTACACAGTCTTTGCCAGGTGTTTCATGATCAGGTTAACACAGTATCACTAGCAGGTTTTCATGATCGGGTAACACAGTCTTCTAGCCAGTGTTTCATGATCAGTTACCCAGTCATCACTAGCCCGGTGTTTCGATCGGTTCCACAGTCATCACTAGCCAGTGTTCATGCTCAGGTTACACAGTCATCACTAGCAGGTTTTCATGATCAGGTTAACACAGTCATCACTAGGCCAGGTGTTTCATGATCATGTTACACAGTCATCACTAGCCAGGTGTTTCATGATCAGGTTACACAGTCATCACTAGCCAGGTGTTTCATGATCAGGGTTAACACAGTCTCACTAGCAAGGTGGTTTAATGATCAGGTTACCACAGTCATCACTGCAGGTGTTTCATGTATCAGTTTCACAGTCATCATAGCCAGGTGTTTCATGATCGGTTACCACAGTATCACTAGCCAGTGTTTCATGATCATGTTACACAGTCATCACTAGCCAGGTGTTTCATGATCATGTTACCACAGTCATCACTAGCCAGGTGTTTCATGATCAGGTTACCACAGTCATCACTAGCCAGGTGTTTCATGATCAGGTTACCACAGTCATCACTAGCCAGGTGTTTCATGATCAGGTTACCACAGTCATCACTAGCCAGGTGTTTCATGATCAGGTTAACACAGTCATCACTAGCCAGGTGTTTCATGATCAGGTTAACACAGTCATCACTAGCCAGGTGTTTCATGATCAGGTTAACACAGTCATCACTAGCCAGGTGTTTCATGATCAGGTTAACACAGTCATCACTAGCCAGGTGTTCGCAATAAAAATACCAGGTAGGTGTTTTCGGAAACATTGTTGTAGCTGAGCGATAATTTGAAATTTTGCCTGTGTAATTTTTATTTTATTACGAGAAATATTAAGATTAATATATTTGTTTTTGCCTTTTTCAAGCTCTTCCGGTTTTCTCAGGAATACTTTTGAAGGTTTTATCCGACTATTCTATACTTAGCTCAGTCACACACGGCTTTCAGTGCAGCCGTAGACTACTGCTGCTAGGAAGTCAGGGATTTGTACACAATCTAACCACTCGGGTTAGATTCCAATGTGACAAACCTTAAATTTACATTTCCTGTAGAGTGCAGGATGACCCCTTTTTTTAAAAATTGAAAAGGGATTGAAAATTTTATCTTTTAAATTTTGAAGTAATTTTGGGTTTTTTACCACCACCCCCCTTGCCAGAGCCAAACATTTTGTTTTACCACCCCATTTGTAGAGGTGGCACAGGTGTTAAATTTTTTTCCTGTAGAATCAGGAACTGGGCTTGTAAAACTCCGTAGAGGAAGGCCATGGCCTTTAACCACCGGGTTCCTGAGAGTCAGCACTGTCTTCCCAACCTCCTCCTGAAGTGGGGCACGTGTTCAAAAATGGTTTTTACACTGGCCCATACCCTGGTACGTGCACAAACACGTAACTTCCCATTATTAGAGTGCGGCATGGGGCTTCCCACCAAAACCAAACTCTTTGTAAGTCAGGCACGGGGCCTCCCCCTACTCCTGTAGAGTGCAGGCACTGTACTTCCCACCCCCCCTGTAGAGTGCAGGCACTGTCTTCCCACCCCACAATCTGTAGAGTGCAGGCACGGGGCCTCCCCCTACATCTGTAGAGTGCAGGCACTTGTTCCACTCCACACCCCCTATAGGAGTGCAGGCACTGTACTTCCACCCTTCCTGTAGAGTGCAGGCACGGGGCTTCCCACCCCACTCTCCCACCCCCTTTCCACCACTCATGTAGAGTGCAGGCACTGTACTTCCCACCTCCCCCTCGTAGAGTGCAGGCACTGTCCTTCCCACCACACCACTCTGTAGAGTGCAGGCACTGTCCCTTCCCACCCCTCTGTAGAGTGCAGGCACGGGGCCTTCCCACCTCCACCACTCTGTAGAGTGCAGGCACTGTCCTTCCCCACCCAAAACCCTCTGTAGAGTGCAGGCACTGTGTATCCAAACCCCACCATTTGTAGAGTGCGGGCACTTTTTTCCCACCCCCACCACCCCTGTAGAGTGCAGGCACTTTTCTTCCCATCCCCCTCTGTAGAGGCAGGCCTGTCCCTCCCACCCTACTCATTTTAGGTGCAGGCACTGTCTTCCACCTCCACACCCCTGTAGAGTGAAGGCACTGTACTTCCACCCTCCTCCCCTGTAGAGTGCAGGCACTGTCTTCCCACCCACCACTCTGTAGAGTGCAGGCACTGCCTTACCACTACTCCTGTAGAGTGCAGGCACTGTCCTTTCCCACCCCCCCAAATCCTTAGAGTGCAGGCACTGTACTTCCCCCCCACCACTCATGTAGAGTGCAGGCACTGTCCTTCCCACCTCCACCACCCCTTAGAGTGCAGGCACGGGGTAACCACCACTCTGTAGAGGGGAGGCACTGTGTTCCCAACCCCACCACTCTGTAGAGTGGAGGCACTGTACCTCCCCCACCTTTTCCTTTTAGAGTGCAGGCACTGTGCTTCCCACCACACCACTCCTGTAGAGTAGGACTGTACTTCCACCTCCCTCCTTTAGAGTGCAGGCATTTGTCCCACCACCCATTTCCCTGTAGAGTGCAGGCAGGGGTCTTACCCCTCTCCTGTAGAGTGCAGGCACTGTCTTCCCACCCCATCCTCCTGTAGAGTGCAGGCACTGGGCTTACCACCACCCTTGTAGAGTGCAGGCACTGTATTTCCCCCACCCTCCTCTGTAGAGTGCAGGCACTGTGTTCCCACCCACCACCTCCTGTAGAGTGCAGGCACTGTACTTCCCCCCCTTTCCTCCTGTTAGAGTGCAGGCACGGGGCTTCCACCACCACCACCCCTGTAGAGTGCAGGAAACTGTTCTTCCCACCCCCTCCTGTAGAGTGCAGGCACTTTTCTTCCCACCACCACACTGTAGATTTGCGGGCATTTGGGCTTCACCACCCACTCCTGTAGAGTGCAGGCACTGTTTCCCACCCCACTCCTGTAGAGGCAGGCACTTTTCTTCCACCCCCCTCCTGTAGAGTGCAGGCACTGTGCTTCCCACCACCACAACCTGTAGAGTGCGGGCACTTCTTCCCACCCCCCCTTTGTGGTGCAGGCACGTTCTTCCCACCCCTCCTGTAGAGGCAGGCACTGCTTCCCACTCCCCCTGTAGAGTGCAGGCACTGTCTTCCCACCACCACCACTCCTGTAGAGTGCAGGCACTGTACTTCCCACCCTCCTCCTGTAGAGTGCAGGCACTGTGCTTCCCACCACCACCACTCCTGTAGAGTGCAGGCACTGGGCTTACCACCACTCCTGTAGAGTGCAGGCACTGTGCTTCCCACCACCACCACTCCTGTAGAGTGCAGGCACTGTATTTCCCACCCTTTTCCTGTAGAGTGCAGGCACTGTGCTTCCCACCACCACCACTCCTGTAGAGTGCAGGCACTGGGCTTACCACCACTCCTGTAGAGTGCAGGCACTGTGCTTCCCACCACCACCACTCCTGTAGAGTGCAGGCACTGGGTTTTTACCACACTCCTGTAGAGTGCAGGCACTGTGCTTCCCACCACCACCACTCCTGTAGAGTGCAGGCACTGTACTTCCCACCTCCTCCTGTAGAGTGCAGGCACTGTGCTTCCCACCACCACCACTCCTGTAGAGTGCAGGGGCCAACCCCTCGGGGGGCCTTTTTCCCACCACCACCACTCCTGTGAGTGCAGGCACTTTTCTTCCCACCCCCCCACTCCTTTTGAGTGCAGGCACTTTTTCTTCCCACCACCACCACTCCTGTAGAGTGCAGGCACTGTTCTTCCCACCACCACCACTCCTGTAGAGTGCAGGCACTGTGCTTCCCACCACCACCACTCCTGTAGAGTGCAGGCACTGTGCTTCCCACCACCACCACTCCTGTAGAGTGCAGGCACTGTACTTTCCACCTCATAAAGATAACTACTCTAGTACAGGTATATCATAATTATTTGAATAACTTTGTGACTAGAATGTTTGACCATATTAAGCTATTTCTTGATCAAGGAAATTGTTTGGTGCTACCCTTCCCTTGGGCCAGTTCTGATTAGGGTGTATGACTTGTACGCATTTAGTTTTTCCCCATGACTATAATAAAATAATTAATAATAATGGCATGTTACTTTTATAAAGAAAATATATTTCAATAAAATATTCACTCTTTTTTGAGTAACTTAAGTTTATCTCAGGTAAGACATAAGGTAGCGGTTGAGAAATTCTCAGGACGTTTGTGTATCTCTGCAGACTCTCTCTGGAGGCCAAGCCTGAGGACCTCTTGGAGGAGAAGATGAAGCCCGTGTTGGACGCTCTGGCTGAACTCAAGGAGGACATCACACCAGAGCAAGCCTTGGCGGCTGTCAAGTAGGTACCAAGATGTCTGTCGCTACCATCAAGATGGTTCAGTGGTTGACTGTTTCAGCCATCAAGATGATCCAGTGACTGTCTGTTTCAGCCATCAAGATGGTTCAGTGACTGTCGCTTCCATGAAATGGCCCAGTGGCTGTCTGCTCCTCATGTAGCTAGTATATGCTTTTAACACTGGCTAGATTTTCTGTGCTCACCTACGTATAATTTTTCCAGTATGCTTGATGTTCTTGTAACAACTTTTGGTACTTTGTTGTACATTGTTAAATGTTTTATCTTGAGGTTTTTAACAATAGTACTCATAAAATCAGATTATTGATCCTTTTTCCAGGATGAACGAGAATTAGGGATGGATTACATGGGTTGTATAAAGGAAATGCGATTGTACTGAAAGACTTAAGTCATTAAGTAGAGAGAAAACACATTAACGGAGAAGCTAAAGAGAAATGAGCGCCTGTGTAACAAAAGTTGATGAATGCAAATGAGCACCTGTGTAACAAAAGTTGGTGAATGGAAATGGAAAGTAACATTTAAAAGAAAACCGAATAAAACTAATTTTCACACTTGTGGTCGAAGCAGATCGTTAATGATGAACAATTAGGTAAATAAGAAGTGTACGAGGAAGGCAAAGAAGAAGAGGCTCTCCTAGAGGTATAATATTTTTGCTTCTACATACGAGTCTTTGAGATAATTAGATCCAAAAGCCCCACAAAAAAGTATCAGTAAACGATGAAAGACAATAAGAGTAGAGATATTTATAAAGGTGTATTGATAAAGCAAAAAAAAAATATCAGCATTTATCTCCTGAAAACATGAAAGGTTAACTATGAAAGTAGTAGCATGAGGTGATGTCATAATGAATATTCTCACTTTGTTTACTAATAATGAGAGTTACACGTCTGCTGACTTTATCACATTTTGCAAGACAATTTATATTGCATGGATATTTTTTTTTTAATTTCACATATGCTGTAGATGTTATTAATGTTAAATATTTGAATGTTATGAGTATTATCTATATTGGATGGAATGAGTAGGTCATATGAACCGGTTTAGTTAGTGTTGCAATGTCCACTATAATTAGCAGTTTTATGCTTTAAAATGGCTTAACTTTGTGCTTACTATGCTGAAGAAACTAATTGATGTAATGATTTGGCTGTACAGTAGTTTAACACACTCCTGCTTTCAGTAATGGCTTCTGTATGCTTTATATGTACGCTTGCTACGTAGACTAATGCCTCTCACATTTTTGCTGTTGCCTCAGGTTTGATGGGGACGCCAGCGCGGTGCATTACCAGTTAGTACCTTTCATTTTTACCCCCTCTTGTTATTACAACCAGTTTTCTTATTAATATTTTTCTTATTACTCTTCCTCTTACTACAATTTTTTTATTAACACTTTTCTCATTGCTCATTCGTATCATTTTCTGTAGCACTTCTGTAGCACTCGATAGTCATGTTGACACTTGACAGCATGTTCGTGCACTCACCAGTCAGTGTTAGCGCACTTAACAGTTAGTGTTGACGCACTCAGCAGTCGCTGTAGACACATTGGACAGTGTTGCAACACTCGTCGGTGTTAAGGCTCTCAACAGTTAGTATTGACGCACTAAACAGTCAATAAAACACTCAACGGTCACAGCTCAACCTCTCAACAGTATGTGTTGCCTCGCTCTATATTGTGTTCGCTGTTATCGTCACCTTACATAAAACAGTAACTGTGTGTTCTCTCTGGATCCCATGAGAAAAATCCTCTAACTCACCAAACAGCAGCATTTCTTCAAATGCCCCAGTTGACTTATTCTGCCTTAAGATATAACTTTCTGAAGATGATAGTGTAGACGGACAACGTTTTGAATCTGTGGGAGCAACGTTTCACTCATGAGTGAGCATTATCAAGTATGTCAAGTAGACGAAGTCACTGTTACATCTTTACTTCGAAATAAGACGCATTGTAGAAGGTATCTCCATGTAGGAAGACGCTTGCTTGCTCACTACTGTGCCAGAAAGATGCCTGATATATTATAAATCTCTGTTATGACTTGATAAAGCTCTACCCAGCCATATAATAAAGCTCTACCTAGCTATATGATGAAGCTCTACCCAGCTGTATAATGAAGGTTTGCTCTACGTCAAGTGTCTCCACCAAGGTTCCAGCAGATTCTGTTCGCCAGATCCCATCATATCCCCCCCCCCCCACTTGGAATATAGCTGGAGGATATACCAAGGATCAGCGCCCCCGCGACCTTGCAGAGGTCCGAGCAAAGCTCAGATCTCTGCAACACAATTGTGCTCAAAGATTTGTTAAGTTTTACCATGAATTAAGGAAAGATCCTGGACTTCACCTTACGAAACAGACAAAGCAAATGCGGTAGTAATTATGCACAAGGTAGATTACAGGGGGAAAATAGCATACTAGAAAACAGGGAAACTGACGTACACCTTAATTAAGAACAGAGGAACGCTGAAACAGGCCTACTGGCCTATAGCTGACGCAATTAAAAACCTCTATTTTTTTTTTTACATCTGTTAGTATTTATTTTTTTCTTAAGACCCTAATATCATAACATTTCCAAAATTCTTCACATGTGTAACTGTGTCAAGGAAATTGTCAAACTTCATATGTTAAATTATAAAACTTTATTTATTAAACTTGACAACTTTATATGTTTAACTTTAAAAAAATTTATGTATTGAACTTGTCAACTTTGTGTATTAAACTTTAAAACTTCGTATAATAAAACTTGACAACTTTATGTATTAAAACTTGACATCTTTACCTATTTAACTTGACAGCTTTATGTGTTAAACTTCACAACTTTATATATTAAAACTTGACAACTTTGCATATTAAACTTGACAACTTTATGTATTGAAATTTAAAACTTCGTGCATAACTTTTAAAGTTTATATATTAAAATTGGCAACTTCATACAGTAAACTGGACAGCTTTATATATTAAACTTGACAACTTTATAGTTTAAACCTGATAACTTTATATATTAAACTTGACAACTTGGTGCACAGAGCAGCGGAGAAGAAACAAGTGGAGGCAGCCCAGCAGGACGCCATGCAAGAAGCTGAGGGTCAGCCTTCAGCAGCAGCTGCTGAACCTCCTCCAGTAGCACAGGTGAGCCTCCTGCCCCAGCCTCACACTTACCTCACGGAGGATAGACCCTCCACTGCTGCATGACATGTTCCTTATAGTCATTGTTTGTCCCCTGCCTTTCCTAACATATCACCTACCAGGTTACTACCCGGGTTTAATACCTGGGGTTAGTACCTGGGTTAATTCTGGGGTTAATACTTGAGCTTATTATCTGTGATCATAAACTTTTCGTGGTGATGATAAAAACATCCGCATTTACATGTGTCATCCCGTTTCCTCACGACATTATGGGAAACCCCACTGGTAGAAACCTCAGAGTACATAGTTTTAGGCTCAGGTACACAATCCTGGGATCAGGTACAAGCTCTGGAATCAGGTACACAGCTCTGGGATCAGGTACACAGCTTTGGGATCAGGTACACGGCTCTTGAATATACACCATGAAAACCTCTATAATATACACCATAAAAGGCTCTATAATATACACTATGTAAGGCTCTATAATGTACACCATGAAAGGCTCTATAATATACTCCATAAAAGGCCCTATAATATACATATGAAAGGCTCTATAATATACACCATAAAAGGCTCTATAATATATACCATAAAATGTTATAATATACACCGTGAAAAGCTCTATTACGTTGTTGTTGCTAATGATCTTTTTAACAGCTCTCTTTATTTTAATAAACAATTAATTGTGTGACTGGTAGTTGTAACATTCCTTGAAAGTGAATGTCCCTTGTCATGTTCAAGGTAACTACAGATCTCTCCCGTTTGACTTCGTCATTTCTTTTTTGTCTTCCATGCTGCTCGCCAGGACTCCCCTACCCTCACCCCTGCGTCAATCCTCACCCTTTCCTCAACTTCTCTTACCCTCTCCCCTCCCTGCAGCTCTCACTCTGTACCCTCCATGATCCCTGAGAACACTGTTATCTCTCCAGGTGGCGCACATTTCCCCTTAACTACAACTGCTAGTTCATTGAGCGCCCCGGGTGATGCATTAGTAAAAATGAAGAAGAGTGAGACGATGCCGTCCCTACGTGACACCCAGGTAGCAGGAGTGACAACCTCCCTCAGTCACCACTCTGTTCTTGCACGTCATCACACACAGCCTCCTCTCGTAGATCCTTCTCTTGTAGCTAAACCATTGCCCTCTCGTCTCTCGGTGTCTTTCTCTCTCTCATCAACGTCAGCGACTTTTACTTCCATGTCTGCGACCGGTGACTCAAGCAGACTGCGTAGCCTTCAGCACACTCCCACCAAACCTGTCCCAGCCCCAAGAACCAGACATTCTACTTCACCCTCGTCAATACCGTCCTTTCCAAACATTCCCTCAGGATTAAAAACAACATCGAAGTCAATACCAAGTAGCCTATATCAAACCGCAGAGTCTCCACCAACAGCGTCTTATGTTACGACCCAACAGCACATTTCGCCTACCTCTCCTCCTGTTCCGTCTTCTAGTGTTTCAGGTGATTCGAGACGGGTGCCTCAGTCACAGTCGACTCCAGCAGTATCACTGGCTCTTTCAGCAAGTTATACACCACTTCCGCTGTCTCAGTCGTTCACTGCTGTGACCACTAAAGTTCAACCTACATTAACATCATTACAGCCCGATCAATCTTTACATTTTAGTACGAAATCAATCTTATCACAAAGTCAACATCAATCCTCTTCCTCATCGTTTTCAATCGTCCCAGCATCACTCTCACCTCACATGTCCACGTCAGACGTCAACAAAGTTTCGTCCGAGTCCACACACACGGACAATTTGACACAAGACGAAGAACTATTAGTAACCATCTCTCTTCCTGGATCTTCACAAGACCATTCAACACTCACCTCACTACAGATAACCTCATCTGAGTCCCTGTTAGTAGACCCAGCTCTATTACCGAGTTTTCTTACCGATCAGAATCTTTATATAGCACAGTCGGACCCGTCACTCCTGCACCCTTCACAGAGTGACCCCTCACAACTGACTCCCTGCCCACCCACTCCTACACAGCCCAACCCTCCTGATGCCATCCCTGCTAGCTCCTCGACCCCACCCATCCCTCTGAGTCCCTCCAGCCCAGCACAATCTGGAGTTCTACAGAGGATTGTGAACCATATGGTAAGACAAAACTATCGCAAGGACTTAAGTGAACTCGAAACTGACTTGTTGTAAGTAATAGTAAGGAGAAACTTTTCTTCCATCATTTGGTAAATCCTTGCTATGAATACTCACATCTATATGACTTGAAAGTCTATTTAGGACACATTATTAACAAGTTAGTTCACATTTTCTTATATCTAAGAATTAGATACAAATAATTTTTGTGATTTGTTTTTCTTTTACAACAATTGAGAAAAAAATCCATAGCATCTGTAACGTATTTAGAGTTTTTTCGTAAGTTTTACGGCGTACCAGTAATTTGGTTGTGGTTGCGTGCAGGTGGACCTGAGCAGCTACAACAAAAGAGCCGTCAGCTTCTTGGCCAGAAACTTTTACAACCTGAAGTATGCAGCACTTGTCCTCGCCTTCTGTATTAACTTTATCTTGCTCTTCTTCAAGGTGAGTCACTGCACTCTCCAGTAACAAATATTACTCTTGGTGATATTTTCATGCCATAATACGAAGGTATTTGAACCTAATTAAACTCATGCTTGTCCATTCCATGCACTTCTAGGCATCAAAGGTATGTTACCAGAAAAATGATGTTTACACCAATTATAAAGTAATGAGGTGGAATTTCGCCGTCCATTTATTAAAACACCATCTTTTAAAGATTGAATAAACAACACAACTAAAAATGGACTAATTAGGAAAAATATAAAAATATTGCTTATTTCGGAATATTTTTTTTTTTATTTCTTTGTGTAACCCTTCGGTTCTGTATTTTCCGTAAGTTCTTGTAACTATTATAACCCTTAAAACACCTCACTGCAATTTGTTACTTTGTACCTTACTGCTTTAACTATAATATTGCAATAGCATATTTTATTATATTGTATTTCAGTGAATTGTGTTTTCGTTTCGCGGAATTGTATTGCACTGCATAATAATTATACATGATTATTGAAAAGTAATGCAATGTAATGTCACGATAAACAAGGTCAAAGTCAGGAGGACAGACATCAAGAGTCCGGAGTTTATTGTTGGAAGTTTTCTTGATGCGATCAAGAGAACTTTCAACAATAAACTTCGGACTCTTGATCTCTGTCCTCCTGATTTTGACCTTGTTCAACGTTGTCGTGTTATTTGTCCCTCTCTGCCTTATTTCTATGGTCTTCCTGAGACTCATAAACCAGATATCCCTCTACGCCCCATCAGTGTAAAGGCACATATGTCAGTCACTCAGAAACAAAACTGTGAGTATTTCGATCCCTGCCGTTGATCCTCTTCGGTGCTAAACATGGGTTAAAAAAAAAAATTTCTTTCTTGTCCTTTTTCCCGATCCGGGTTTACTGAGTAATGTGTGAGTGTGATACATGCTTACTGTCGGGCAGGCGTCTGCCCTGGCTGGCGACGAGGAGGAAGAGGAGGTGGCGCCGGTGAACAATCCATTCGCCTTTGGTTCCGGTGACCTGCTAGGCTCCGGCGACGCTGCTATACTGGGTGATGACGATACTGATGACGAACTGGGCTCTGGCAACTTTACGTTAGGTGAAGACAGCGATGACGAAGATGACGAGGAGGTTAGTCTCTTCTGACTGGTGAGGATCCTTGTCAGGTTCAGTGTTTAAGCAGTGAAAATTGTTTTAACTATGTACAATATACATGTTTAGGCTATACATATATGGCACAAACGAAAACATATAGGGAATAAAACAGAAGAAGAGTATTGTACTTCATAGGCCTTACATTGAACTCTTCCTCAGAAGAGAGATCTTGATATACAGTATTATTATAATTGTCTTTATTTTCTTCATGCGATTTCAAAAATGCTCTTAACTAGTGCTTATTAGATATTGGAAAGAAAATCCTGGATGATGTTTCGGTTCTTCTTTGACTATTATCAAGTCACAGTTATAATTACGTCCGAAAACCCCCTTCCATTTTTTGACCAAAGAATATTATATACTCATAAAATTTAGTTTTATTAAATAGAATCATGGTATACGGCAGACAGCATCCGAATCTTTGAATCAGATTTTATACAAATCTTTTAGAATCAGCAACACGCTTTTGTTCACTTATAAATTTACACGATAGTAATATAATAGATTATTAATATAGTTGATTTGAAAATGTACTTGAAAATGGATAAATCTAGTAATCAGCATTTTACAGTAGCATTAGTACAAGGCACTTTTCAGTGTCGTAGTTCTGTAGTTTAGTTTAATATGTTTATTATGCACCCCATACCCATCCTGTGGGCGGTAGTCAAAAGATTACAGGGGTACAAAATTTGGGTCCGGGGACGGGAAACTCCAAATTTTTTTGATAGCTGAGCAATTTTACAGAGGTAATGAACTCACAATTTACAAAGCTAATGAACTCACAATTTACAAAGGTAATGAACTCACAATTTACAAAGGTAATGAACTCCAGGTAAGTCTGGTCACAATCATGACAAGTTACAAAGGTATTTACAGATTACAGAGGTACGTAATGGGTCCAGGGACTGGGCCCCCAAAGTTTTGATAGCTGAATTAGGTACAAAGGTAATGAGCTCACAAGTTACAAAGGTAATGAATTCTGTAGAATGGTTACGTAGTAACACCCACTCACAACCGAAGATGATGGGTTCAATCCTGGACGAGTGGAGACGTATGTGCACGTTTCATTACATTTCTAGACTCCATTCACTTTGCAGAAAATAGGTACGTGATTGTTACTCGACGGGTGTGGGCAGTACCCTGGGTGGTCTGGGTAGGATACTTTAGATAGGGCTGGACTTTGCAATGAGGTGAGGTAGGATAATAACTCACAGGCTTTAAATTCAACAGTGGAAGGAAAGGAGTTGTTCTTTATAATTTACTCCTCAGCAGGAAAAAAATATTAACAATGGATTGCATTATTACACTCATGGGGAGCGCTAAACCCATACAGCACGTAAGGGAAAGGAAGGCAGTCAGGTTCGGTCTAAGGAATAGATCATATACAGTAACTTGTATCAAGAGCCCTTCACCAGTGTCAGAGAACCTCCCTTGAAGGGAGGTTCTTATATTTGTTGGTAATTACATATGTGCACCAGATATATTATTAGTACTTTATGAAAATATATTATTACCTACTGATCTTCTTAATGATGAGGAACTTATCAGAGTAAGTGTTGTGTTTACTTTGTTGTTTGCAATATCGATCTGTTGTCGCCAAAGTTAAGATCCAACAAAACAACTGCAGTGATTTAGTTGTTTATATCTACTAAATATACTATGAGGAAAACTCTTTGAATTATTTAGGGACAAATATTGAAAATTGAAGAATGTCTTGTGAAACCCTTTGAAAAATCAAGTTGTTCAGTCTTGCAAGACTGAAAAACTCAAACTGTTTTTAAAGCTCCTACTTCAAAGCTAGTACAGTATATTCATGACATTGTCTTAGTGTTGGCATTCAGGGAGAATTTCAGCTCCCATCTACTTTGAAACCCTTCAGTATATTAAAGAGATGTTTAAAAAACATCCTAATGGCCATTTATATTAATTCCGTGTAAGGAATGTGGCAGGAGATACAGTGGACAGACTGGAAAACATTAGAAGAAAGGCTCCAGCATCACAAATATTCCAGTCGTTCAGTCCAAGAATTCGGTGCTTTATTCCTGTACTTGTAACCCACTACACTGTACTTTTAATATTCGTCAGAGCAGCCCTCACACAGATCATAATCTTTCGACGACCCATTTACAAATATTCAATGTAACCCACTAGATGAACACACGTATAAAGAAAACTCAAAAGCCATTGTTTAGATTTGTGAAAACCAATCTTTTATCTGCTCGTTAATCTGTTTATGTGCAATTCCGAGGAAATAGTTATAAGTTTTTTTAGATTTTCTTTATTGTTGCAGTTCTTTTCAAATATATGATTATTATCTTTAGTAATTATTATCCATCTTATTCTCCTTGTACTGTACATAGTTGTAATTCCAAGTTAGTGTAGGGAAACCACATTTGTAAGGTAGTGGAAAAGGAAATACGGCCTCCACTATTAAATCCATATACAATAATAATGAGTTTGATGACAAACCTTTCTTGCTTCAGGTTGAAGAATGGATCCACATGGATGACCGATACTTCTACTTGGAACACATCCTCCGCCTGCTAACTGTCACCCACAGTATCGTTGCTCTCTGCATGCTGCTGGCCTACTACCACCTCAAGGTCACTCACAAACTCTTATATAATGACAAAAATGACATTTGTTTTCACTGAAGAATTCTATTATTAGGAGGCCCTGTCTATAACCTATATATATTTATATATATATATATATATTATATATATATATATATATATATATATAATATATATATAAAATAATATATATATAAAATATATATATATATATATATATGTACAAAATATATAATATATATATATATATATATAATATATATATATATATATATATATATATATATATAAAACCCTACCCTAAACCCGGGGAGGGTTATAATTGAAAGAATTAGAGGTAAGACAGAATGTGGGATAGCGGGTGAGCAAGGAGGCTTCAGAGTGGGTAGGGGGTGTGTAGATCAAGTGTTTACATTGAAGCATATATGTGAACAGTATTTAGATAAAGGTAGGGGAAATTTTTATTGCATTTATGGATTTAGAAAAGGCATATGATAGAGTGGATAGAGGAGCAATGTGGGGAGAAAGTTGCAAGTATATGAAATAGGTGGTAAGTTACTAAATGCTGTGAGGCTCAGGTTAGGGTGTGAGAAGAGGGGGGAGAATACTTCTCGGTAAAAGTAGGTCTTAGACAGGGATGTGTAATGTTTACCATGGCTGTTTAATATATTTATAGATGGGGTTGTAAAAGAAGTAAATGCTAGGGTGTTCGGGAGAGGAGTGGGATTAAATTATGGGGAATCAAATTCAAAATGGGAATTGACACAAATTACTTTTTGCTGATGTACTGTGCTTATGGAGATTCTAAAGAAAAATTACAAAGGTAGTGGATGAGTTTGGGAGTGTGTGTGTTTAAAGGGTAGAAAGTTGAAAGTGAACATAGAAAAGAGTAAGGTGATGAGGGTATCAATGATTTAGATAAAGAAAAATTGGATATCAAATTGGGGAGGAGGGGTATGGAAGAAGTGAATTTTTCAGATACTTGGGAGTTGACGTGTCGGCGGATGGGATTTATGAAGGATGAGTTAATCATATAACTGATGAGGGGAAAAAAGGTGATGGTGGCGTTGAGGTAAATGTTTGGGGTCAAAAAACGTTATCTATGGAGGCAAAGAAGGGAATGTATGAAAGTATAGATTTCCAACACTCTTATATGGATGTGAAGCTTGGGTGGTAGATGCAGCAGCGAGGAGACGGTTTGGGGCAGTGAGATGTCCGTCTAAGGGCAATGTGTGGTGTAAATATTATGCAGAAAATTCGGAGTGTGGAAATTAGGAGAAGGTGTGGAGTTAATAAAAGCATTAGTCAGAGGGCAGAAGAGGGGTTGTTGAGGTGGTTTGGGCATTTAGAGAGAATGGATCAAAAATAGAATGACAGGAAAGCATATAAATCTATAGGGGAAGGAAGGAGGGTAGGAGTCGTCCTCGAAAGGGTTGGAGAGAGGGAGTAAAGGAGGTTTTGTGGGCGAGGGGCTTGGGCTTCCAGCAAGCGTGCGTGAGCGTGTTAGATAGGAGTGAATGGGACGAATGATACTTGGACTTGACGATCTGTTGGAGTGTGAGCAGGGTAATATTTAGTGAAGGGATTCAGGGAAACCGTTATTTTTCATTTAGTGGGCTTGAGTCCTGGAAATGGGAAGTACAATGCCTGCACTTTAAAGGAGGGGTTTGGGATATTGGCAGTTTGGAGGGATATTTGTGTATCTTTATATGTGTATGCTTCTAAACTGTGTATCTGAGCACCTCTGCAAAAACAGTGATAATGTGTGAGTGTGGTGGAAAGTGTTTTAATGATGATGAAAGTATTTTCCTTTTGGGGATTTCTTCTTTTTTTTTTTGGGTCACCCTGCCTCGGTGGGAGACGGCCGACTTGTTAAAAAAAAAATATATATAAAATATATAATATATATATATATATATATATATATATATAATATATATATTATATATATATATATATATATATATTAAAAATATATATATATATATAATAGGTAAAACTTGCGATTTTGGCTCCAGTAGCAACGCTCTTCTTGCCGAGTAAGGCAAGCGAAAATTTGCGTATGCAATAATTTGGCAAAAATAATTTTCAACCTAACGAAAAAAATATATTTCATTGTCTTTGTTCATTATTATTGTAAACTTATCTAAAATATATTTAGTTGGATTAGAATAAATTAAATTGCGCATGTTATAATAAGGTTAGGTTAGTTATCTAAGGTTCTTTTGGTACAAAATTATTAATTTTTACATTAACATAAATGAAAAAATCTACTTTATCCGTATATGAGAACATTTTAGAAAGGACTTAATTGAATTTTAAATGAATTTTTGCTAATTGGCCAGTTTTACCTATTCGGCACAACAATTTATAGACACATGGTGAATTTGCTATTACTTAAATAATTTTCACATCTGAAATTTGTTCGGTATTTCTTATTACATAGTCAATGAAATTTTCAGTGATTTTGTCATGTTATGATTATCACTTTGTTTATAACGCAAAATGCACTCTTATTAGTATGGCAAGTATAATGTTGAAAGTCTCATTATTGATAACTCAAATCAAAGTTTATAGTAATTCAGAAGACGATTAAATAATTTTTTTAATATAATATTGTAGAAGCCAAATATTTGGACATGACTGCCAGAATTTTTACTGTGTTACTGATATCTCTGGTGGTCTTCAACTTTTCACATGACTTAAATATTTAATGTATTGCAGATACCTTTTTTAGTCTTCAACCTATATCATGAATAATATATTTACGGTGTTGCAGATACCCCTGGTAATCTTCAAGCGTGAGAAAGACGTAGCTCGGCGCCTGGAGTTCGAAGGTATATACGTCGCTGAACAACCCGAGGACGACGATATTAAGGGTCACTGGGACAAGCTGGTCATCTCTGCCAAGTAAGATGATACACTCTCAGTATTTTCTGGTTTATGAACATTTAAGCCATACAGGGCCAGTAAAACTAGTTCAGAATTATTTTAAACGGGCATGTGATGAATGTAGGAACACCATACTTGGAAATGATAAATACTACTACGAAAGACTGAAGAGTGATGTATTAATAGTCATTGTAGGAGTAAAATAAAATTATATAGTCCTTGAAAAGTAGAACAAATTATGTGTTTAAGTATTACAACTAGATAATCATTGTAGGTGTAAATATATATATATATATATATATATATATATATATATATATATATATATATATATATATATATATATATATATATTATATATATATATATATATACTATATACGAAAGCCTATGATTGTTTTACATGATGGTAGGATTGCTGGTGTCTTTTGTCTGTCTCATAAATATGAAAGATTACAGGTATGTCTTGCTACTGCTACTTACACTTAGGTCACACTACACATACATGTACACGTTTATTTATACAGACTCATCTGAGTTTTCTTTGATTTTATCTTAATAGTTCTTGGTCTTATTATTTTTCCCTTAATATCCATGGGGAAGTGGAATAAAAATCTTTCCTCCGTAAGCCATGCGTGTTGTAAAAGTCAACTAAAATGCCGGGAACAATGGGCTAGTAACCCCTTTTCCTGTAATAATTACTAAAAAGAATAAGAAGAAGAAAATTGTCAAAGTGGGAAGTCTGAATGTGCGTGGATGTTGTGCAAATGATAAGAAAGAGATGATTGTGGATGTTATGAATGAGAAGAAGCTGGATGTCCTGGCTTTAAGTGAAACAAAGCTGAAGGGGGTGGGAGAGTTTCAGTGGAGAGGAATAAATGGGATTAGGTCAGGGGTTTCAAACAGAGTTAGAGCTAAAGAAGAAGTAGCAATAATGTTGAAGGATAAGTTATGGCAGGAAAAGAGGGACTATAAATGTATTAATTCAAGGATTATGTGGAATAAAATAAAGGTTGGAAGTGAAAAGTGGGTTATAGTAAGCGTATATGCACCTGGAGAAGAGAGAAGTGTAGAGGAGAGAGAGAGATTTTGGGAAATGTTGAGTGAATGCGTGGGGAGTTTTGAACCAAGTGTGAGAGTAATGGTGGTTGGGGATTTCAATGCTAAAGTGGGCAAAAATGTTGTGGAGGGAGTAGTAGGTAAATTTGAGGTGCCAGGGGTAAATGTAAATGGGGAGCCTTTAATTGAGCTATGTGTAGAAAGAGGTATGGTAATAAGTAATACAAATATAGAAGGTATGATATAGCACGTAATGAAAGTAGTTTGTTAGATTATGTATTGGTGGATAAAAGGTTGATGGGTAGGCTCCAGGATGTACACGTTTATAGAGGGGCAACTGATATATCGGATCATTATTTAGTTGTAGCTACAATTAGAGTAAGAGGTAGATGGGAAAAAAGGAAAATGGCAACAGCAAGTAAGAAGGAGGTGAGAGTGTATAAACTAAGGGAGGAGGAAGTTCGGGTGAGATATAAGCAACTGTTGGCAGAAAGGTGGACTGGTGCAAGTATGAGCAGTGGGGGATTGAAGAGGGTTGGAATAGTTTTAAAAATGCAGTATTAGAATGTGGGGCAGAAGTTTGTGGTTATAGGAGGGTGGGTACAGGAGGAAAGAGGAGTGATTGGTGGAATGATGAAGTAAAGGGTGTGATAAAAGAGAAAAAGTTAGCTTATGAGAGGTTTTTGCAAAGCAGAAGTGTTATAAGAAGAGTAGAGTATATGGAGAGTAAAAGAAAGGTGAGAGAGTGCAAAAGGAGAGCAGATGATAGAGTGGGAGAGGCACTGTCAAGAAATTTTAATGAGAATAAGAAAAAATTTTGGAGTGAGTTAAACAAGTTAAGAAAGCCTAGGGAACAAATGGATTTGTCAGTTACAAACAGAGTAGGGGAGTTAGTAGATGGTGAGATGGAGGTTTTGGGTAGATGGCGAGAAAATTTTGAGGAATTTTTAACTGTCGACGAAGAAAGGGAAGCGGTAATTTCATGCACTGGCCAGGGAGGTATACCATCTTTTAGGAATGAAGAAGAACAGGATGTGAGTGTGGGGGAGGCGCGTGAGGCATTACGTAGAATGAAAGGGGGTAAAGCAGCTGGAACTGACAGGATCATGACAGAAATGTTAAAACCAGGGGGGGATATAGTGTTGGAGTGGTTAGTATTTTTGTTTAATAAATGTATGAAAGAGGGGAAGGTACCTAGGGATTGGCAGAGAGCATGTATAGTCCCTTTATATAAAGGGAAGGGGGACAAAAGAGATTGTAAAAATTATAGAGGAATAAGTTTACTGAGTATACTAGGAAAAGTGTACGGTAGGGTCATAATTGAAAGAATTAGAGGTAAGACAGAATGTAGGATTGCAGATGAGCAAGGATGTTTCAGAGTGGGTAGAGGATGTGTAGATCAAGTGTTCACATTGAAGCATATATGTGAACAGTATTTAGATAAAGGTAGGGAAGTTTTTATTGCATTTATGGATTTAGAAAAGGCATATGATAGAGTGGATACAGGAGCAATGTGGCAGATGTTGCAAGTATATGGAATAGGTGGTAAGTTACTAAATGCTGTAAAGAGTTTTTATGAGGATAGTGAGGCTCAGGTTAGGGTGTGTAGAAGAGAGGGAGACTACTTCCCAGTAAAAGTAGGTCTTAGACAGGGATGTGTAATGTCACCATGGTTGTTTAATATATATATAGATGGGGTCGTAAAACAAGTAAATGCTAGGGTGTTCGGGAGAGGGGTGGGAATAAATTATGGGGAATCAAATACAAAATGGGAATTGACAAAGTTGCTTTTTGCTGATGATACTGTGCTTATGGGAGATTCTAAAGAAAATTGCAAAGGTTAGCGGATGAGTTTGGGAGTGTGTGTAAAGGTAGAAAGTTGAAAGTGAACATAGAAAAGAGTAAGGTGATGAGGGTATCAAATGATTTAGATAAAGAAAAATTGGATATCAAATTGGGGAGGAGGAGTATGGAAGAAGTGAATGGTTTCAGATACTTGGGAGTTGACGTGTCGGCGGATGGATTTATGAAGGATGAGGTTAATCATAGAACTGATGAGGGGAAAAAAGGTGAGTGGTGCATTGAGGTATACGTGGAGACAAAAAACGTTATCTATGGAGGCAAAGAAGGGAATGTATGAAAGTATAGTAGTACCAACACACTTATATGGGTGTGAAGCTTGGGTTGTGAATGCAGCAGCGAGGAGGTGGTTGGAGGCAGTGGAGATGTCCTGTCTAAGGGCAATGTGTGGTGTAAATATTATGCAGAAAATTCGGAGTGTGGAAATTAGGAGAAGGTGTGGAGTTAATAAAAGTATTAGTCAGAGGGCTGAGGAGGGGTTGTTGAGGTGGTTTGGCCATTTAGAGAGAATGGATCAATGAATGACATGGAGAGCGTGTAAATCTGTAGGGGAAGGAAGGCGGGGTAGATGTCGTCCTCGAAAAGGTTGGAAGGAAGGGGTAAGGTAGGTTTTGTGGGCGAGGGGCTTGGACTTCCAGCAGGCGTGCATGAGCGTGTTCGTTAGGAGTGAATGTAGACGAATGGTATTTGGGACCTGACGATCTGTTGGAGTGTGAGCAGGGTAATATTTAGTGAAGGGATTCAGGGAAACCGGTTATTTTTATATAGACGGACTTGAGTCCTGGAAATGGGAAGTACAATGCCTGCACTTTAAAGGAGGGGTTTTGGGATAGCAGTTTGGAGGGATATGTTGTGTATCTTTATACGTATATGCTTCTAAACTGTTGTGTTCTGAGCACCTCTGCAAAAACAGTGATAATGTGTGAGTGTGGTGGAAAGTGTTGAATGATGATGAAAGTATTTTCTTTTTGGGGATTTTCTTTCTTTTTTGGGCAAACCTGCCTCTCTGGGAGACGGCCGACTTGTTGAATATATATATATATATATATATTAATATATATATATATATATTATATATATATATATATATATATATATATATATATATATAAACTTGAAGAGTATGACACCAGTTCCACATATTAATCTTTATTTTCGCACAGTTCAACACTTGGTACGAACTTAATAAAGTTTAAGGAAAGATACGAAACACTTGTAGTGAGCTTGTGTATGACTTCCCTCAGTTTTAATACCTTCAAGAAGGACGGGTAGGCCTTGATGCTGGTGAAGGACGGGTAGGCCTTGATGCTGGTGAAGGAGGGGTAGGCCTTGATGCTGGTGAAGGACGGGTAGGCCTTGATGTTGGTGAAGGACGGGTAGGTCTTGATGCTGTGAAAGGACGGGTAGGTCCTTGATGCTGGTGAAGGACGGGTAGGCCTTGATGTTGGTGAAGGACGGGTAGGTCTTGATGCTGGTGAAGGACGGGTAGGCCTTGATGTTGGTGAAGGACGGGTAGGCCTTGATGCTGGTGAAGGACGGGTAGGTCTTGATGCTGGTGAAGGACGGGTAGGTCTTGATACTGGTGAAGGACGGGTAGGCCTTGATGTTGGTGAAGGACGGGTAGGCCTTGATGTTGATGAAGGACGGTAGGCCTTGATGTTGGGGTTGAAGGACGGGTCGGCCTTGATGTTGGTGAAGGACGGGTAGGCCTTGATGCTGGTGAAGGACGGGTAGGCCTTGATGTTGGTGAAGGACGGGTAGGCCTTGATGTTGGTGAAGGACGGGTAGGCCTTGATGTTGATGAAGGACGGGTAGGCCTTGATGTTGGTGAAGGACGGGTCGGCCTTGATGTTGGTGAAGGACGGGTCGGCCTTGATGCTGGTGAAGGACGGGTAGGCCTTGATGTTGGTGAAGGACGGGTAGGCCTTGATGTTGGTGAAGGACGGGTAGGCCTTGATGTTGGTGAAGGACGGGTAGGCCTTGATGTTGGTGAAGGACGGGTAGGCCTTGATACTGGTGAAGGACGGGTAGGCCTTGATGTTGGTGAAGGACGGGTAGGCCTTGATGTTGGTGAAGGACGGGTAGGCCTTGATGTTGGTGAAGGACGGGTCGGCCTTGATGTTGGTGAAGGACGGGTAGGCCTTGATGCTGGTGAAGGACGGGTAGGCCTTGATGTTGATGAAGGACGGGTAGGCCTTGATGTTGGTGAAGGACGGGTAGGCCTTGATGTTGATGAAGGACGGGTAGGCCTTGATGCTGGTGAAGGAGGGGTAGGCCTTGATGTTGGTGAAGGACGGGTAGGCCTTGATGCTGGTGAAGGACGGGTAGGCCTTGATGAAGGACGGGTAGGCCTTGATGCTGGTGAAGGAGGGGTAGGCCTTGATGTTGGTGAAGGACGGGTAGGCCTTGATGCTGGTGAAGGACGGGTAGGCCTTGATGTTGATGAAGGACGGGTAGGCCTTGATGCTGGTGAAGGAGGGGTAGGCCTTGATGCTGGTGAAGGACGGGTAGGCCTTGATGCTGGTGAAGGACGGGTAGGCCTTGATGTTGATGAAGGACGGGTAGGCCTTGATGTTGGTGAAGGAGGGGTAGGCCTTGATGCTGGTGAAGGAGGGGTAGGCTTTGATGCTGGTGAAGGACGGGTAGGCCTTAAGAGAGAGAGAGATTTCGTTCGGATTTTTAACCCCGGAGGGTTAGCCACCCAGGATAACCCAAGAAAGTCAGTGCGTCATCGAGGACTGTCTAACTTATTTCCATTGGGGTCCTTAATCTTGTCCCCCCGGATGCGACCCACACCAGTCGACTAACACCCAGGTACCTATTTGCTGCTAGGTGAACAGGACAACAGGTGTAAGGAAACGTGTCGAAATGTTTCCACCCGCCGGGAATCGAACCCGGGCCCTCCGTGTGTGAAGCGGGAGCTTTAGCCACCGGGCCACCTTGATGTTGGTGGAGGACGGGTAGGCCTTGATGTTGGTGAAGGAGGGGTAGGCTTTGATGCTGGTGAAGGGTTCATTGTCCAAGGTATTGGAGCTGACTTCCCCGTCTTACCACATGTTAAAATAAATAACAAAAAGACACAATACCGTGACTGGAACGATACACAAATAACCCGCACATAAAAGAGAGAAGCTTACGACGACGTTTCGGTCCGACTTGGACCATTGACGATGGGGATGCCCGGGTGTTGTGCATGTGTCTTAATTTCATCCTGTCGGTATTATATACAATTCTTGTACTACTACTACTACTACCACCTCTTCCTGCCTATATATAGCCGTCCTGCTCCACCTCTGTTAGTGTGACTTTGTCAATGGTCCAAGTCGGACCGAAACGTCGTCGTAAGCTTCTCTCTTTTATGTGCGGGTTATTTGTGTACATGTTAAAATACTTTACGTGTGGCAGCACATCAATATGATAGTTACAAATACAGTGCATATACAGACTAACACACTACTGATATACCTAATATACAGACTAATGCATTTTAATTCACTACAAATAGACTAATACATTAATAACACATTAATACACTTCTTAACAATACTGAATGACACCATCAACAAAAACTGGGAATTCTGGTACCGTTTCGGCTGACGATATTGAAGGGCTCTTTATCCAAAGAACTGGAGCTTTTCTTCACTAAGGTATTTGAGGAGGTAGATCATGGTATTGAATATGATATTGTGTATATGGACTTCAGTAAGGCTTTCCATAGAGTTCCACATCAGAGGCTATTGAGGAAACTTAGGCACACGGAATAGAAGGAAAACTTTTTTCCTGGGTAGAGGCATGGTTGACAGATAGGCAGCAGAGACTTTGCATAAATGGGGAGAAATCAGAATGGGGGCACGTCACAAGCGATGTTGGGCCCCTTGTTGTTCACAGTTTACACAACGACATAGATGAGGGAATCATTAGCGACATAAGCAAATTTGCTGATGACACCAAAATAGGCCGTCCAATTCATTCTAATGAGGACATTAGAGCACTCCAGGATGATTTGAATAGACTGATGCAGTGGTCGGAGAAGTGGCAGATGCAGTTTAATATAGACAAATGCAAATTTCTAAATGTTGGACAGGAAAAAAAAACATGTCACATAAACTAAATAATGTAGATCTTAATATTACAGATTGCTAAAAGGATTTAGGAGTTCTGGTTAGCAGTAATCTGAAACCAAGACAACAGTGGATAAGTGTTCGCAATAAAGCTAACAGAATCCTTGGCTTCATAGCAAGAAGTATAAATAATAGAAGTCCTGAGGTTGTTCTTCAACTCTATATATCTTTGGTTAGGCCTCATTTAGATTATGCTGCACAGTTCTGGTCACCATATTACAGAGTGGATATAAATGCTCTGGAAATCGTACAGAGAAGGATGACAAACATGATCCCATGTACCAGAAATCTTCCCTATGAGGATAGACTGAGGGCCCTGAATCTGCACTCTCTCGAAAGGTGTAGAATTAGGGGGGATATGATCGAGGTGTATAAATGGAAAACAGGAATAAATAAAGGGGATGTAAATAGTGTGCTAAAAATATTTAACATCGATAGGACTCGCAGCAATGGTTTTAAATTGGAAAAATTCCGTTTGGCACTAGTTTGGTAATAGACTTGTGGATGAGTGGAACAAACTCCCGAGTACCGTCATAGAAGCTAAGACGTTGTGTAGTTTTAAAAATAGGTTCGTTAAATACATGAGTGGGTGTGGGTGGGTGTGAGTTGGACCTGACTAGCTTGTGCTACTAGGTCGAATGCCGTGCTCATCCCTTAAGTGACGTGACTGATCTGACTAGGTCAAAGCATTGGCTTAAACCGGTGAGAGAATTGGACCTGCCTCGCATAGGCCAGTAGGCCTGTTGCAGTGTTCCTTATTTCTTATGTTCTTAGATCAGACATGATTAACTCCCCTTCTCAGTCGCTCTGTGACGAACGGATTTACCGCTTCCATAATACTACTACTAATAATAACAATACCTATCAGCAGATGTGTACACTGACACACTGGTGGTTTCTTGCAGGAGTTTCCCCAACAATTACTGGGACAAATTCGTCAAGAAGAAGGTGAGGCAAAAGTATAGTGAAACTTACGACTTCGATGCTATCTCCAACCTGTTGGGCATGGAGACTACCATGAGCTTCAAGCAGGAGGAAACTTCCACTGGTATCATTGGCTAGTGAGTATCTCTCTCTCTCTCTCTCTCTCTCTCTCTCTCTCTCTCTCTCTCTCTCTCTCTCTCTCTCTCTCTCTCTCTCTCTCTCTCTCTCTCTCTCTCTCTCTCTCTCTCTCTCTTTTACACAAATTGTGTACAAGGTTAAGGTAAGGATTCTTAACTTTGTTTACAAGCAAAGAGCTGTTACCTACATCAGCTCATTTGAAAACCTTTTTATTGTTAATATTCATTTATCTCTTGATTTATTTATTAGTTGGTCCGTCTTACGAATTTACTAACTTTTTTCACTAAGGTGTTTGAGGAGGTAGATCATGGTAATAAATATGATATTCTGTATATGGACTTCAGTAAGGCTTTCGATAGAGTTCCACACCAGTGGCTATTGAGGAAACTTAAGGCACACGGAATAGGAGGAGAAATTTTTTCCTTGGTAGAGGCATGGCTGACAAATAGACAGCAGAGAGTTTGCATAAATGGTTAGAAATCAGAATGGGGGCACGTCACAAACGGTGTTCCTCAGGGGTCAGTGTTGGGCCCGTTGTTGTTCACAATTTACATAAACGACATAGATGAGGGAATAAATAGCGACATAAGCAAATTTGCTGATGACACCAAAATAGGCCGTCCAATTCATTTTAATGAGGACACTAGAGCACTCCAGGATGATTTGAATAGACTGATGCAATGGTCGGAAAAGTGGCAGATGCAGTTTAATGTTGACAAATACAAAGTTCTAAATATTGAACAGTTAAATAACCATGCCACATATAAACTAAATAATGTAGATCTTAATACTACTGATTGCGAAAAGGATTTAGGAGTTCTGGTTAGCAGTAATCTAAAACCAAGACAACAGTGCATTAGTGTTCGCAATAAAGCTAACAGAATTCTTGGCTTCATATCTAGAAGTATAAATAATAGAAGTCCTCAGGTTGTTCTTCAACTCTATATATCCTTGGTTAGGCCTCATTTAGACTATGCTGCTCAGTTCTGGTCACTGTATTACAGAATGGATATAAATGATCTGGAAAACGTACAGAGGAGGATGACAAAGATGATCCCATGTATCAGAAATCTTCCCTATGAGGATAGACTGAGGGCCCTGAATCTGCACTCTCTCGAAAGGCGTAGAATTAGGGGGGATATGATCGAGGTGCATAAATGGAAAACAGGAATAAATAAAGGGGATGTAAATAGCGTGCTGAAAATTTCCAGCCAAGACAGGACTCGCAGCAATGGTTTCAAGTTGGAAAAATTCAGATTCAGGAAGGATATAGGAAAGCACTGGTTTGATAATAGAGTTGTGGATGAGTGGAACAAACTCCCGAGTACAGTTATTCAGGCTGAAACGTTGTGTAGTTTTAAAAATAGGTTAGATAAATACATGAGTGGGTGTGGGTGGGTGAGAGTTGGACCTGACTAGCTTGTGCTGCTGGGTCTGGTGCCGTGCTCCATCCTTGAGTGGAGGTGACCAAACTGGGTGGGTCATTGGTCTAATCCTGGGGGAAGGGACATGGACCTGCTCCGCATGGGTCAGTAAGCCTGTTGCAGTGTTCCTTCTTTCTTATGTTCTTTGTTTTCAAAGCAAGGCCTGTGGTAGGCAACCACCTCAGCTATAAACCGAAAATATCACTTCTCTTCGCCACTCTTTACTAAATAAAGACATTTCACAAAAAAAGGGATACTCTGAACAGCAGAGTGGCGACCCTTGCTCCCAGAGTCTGAAATGTAGTTAAAATGATAGTTTACATTGGATATTACTGTGAAAAAACTACGTCAACACAAGACAGTGTAGCCCACCAAGGCTCGCAGAAAACAAGCCACACAATAGACTGCAGACACAGGTCGGAGTTCACAAATTCTAAGTACCAAAATTTATTAAATTAGGGTGTGGGGGGGTACAAAATACCCTAGGTCATGTCCTCTAGTTAGTAGCAAAATGGTAAATGACTTGTGAGCACGTGTAAGGGAAGATATGGATAGTGAGGTGAATACTACAAGAGTTAATAAGCCTCATCTACGCTCTTTATGTAAAAACTATAGATAGCACTAGTACTTCCTTATGCAATATTATAACATGATAAATATAGAATAAATAATATGGGTTATTACAACGAAGGACCTGGTCATTATCCCTAGCTGACAGGCAGCTACATAGAACAAACCCAACATTAATAATTAAACTCTGAACTGACAAAACCTTAAATAATGTACAACTGTTTGTTATACTTGCTTTCGTTAATTACAGCAGTTGTATGCTTTCTAGTTTTTCATTTCATTACAGAAATTTATTCTTTTTTCCATAAGTACGTATTTAGATATCTTTCCGTCCTTGCAGCATTATGTCTGTAGACTGGAGGTATCAAGTATGGAAGGCTGGAGTCACCATTACTGACAATGTACGTATCTTCCATTGCATCTCCTTTATTACATTTAGGGTTATTTTTGCTGTGTGTATACAGTGCTACTTACATAGTGATATAACAAGAGTACGAGATAATTCAAGTTAAACTAAGAGTTTTATACCATTGCAGTAGACAGGTTCATTGTGTGTACTCGTGTCATTGCGGTTGCAGGGGTCAACTCGAAGCTTTTGTGTGGGGAGGAGGGGGAGGGGAGGAGATTTATACCTATCATTAAAACTAATCATGCAGTCTGCTTCCAACACTCTTGTTAGGTAAATGGACAGATATGCAACTAATGTGACATTTTATTGTGGCAACGTTTCGCTCTTCAGTAGCCTTCTCAAGCCGTTACAAACATTATAAGGACAGAGAGGGTATATAGTATACGGGTACTACGTGAGGTAAAAAAAATCGTTACACTTTCTGGCCATCCTGAGACTGAAATTAAGATTTCCTGAAAGTAATGGGGCTCTTACCCTTATTGAACTCCCATTTATGCCTCTGTCTTTGATCCACACCTTTCAGTCATCATTCTTCTCAGATCTGTCATTTCCTTTGAGTATCTTCTACCTTGCCATGCCTTCTCTAGCCCTTGGCTAATCTTAAGACATAATTTAGAAGAAAAACGGATGCATTAAAGATAAAATAGTTTGACCGTGCATAGCCTCCGGCACCATCGTGTTGCCATAGATTCTGATGGAGGAACTGAGGTCCTACGTGAACTGCTCGCAGTGATAGATTATTTTACAAGAAAAATAGTGTATTGCACACGAACATTGTTAAAATAGTTAACAAGCATTTTATTATTATTAGTAGTAGTAGTATATTTAAGGGTAAGTCCATCTTAAATTCCATAGGCTTGATACAGAACTGAAGGAATGGGGGGAAGGGGGCATTCAGATTCAGTCCAAGGAGAGGGAAGACAAGTTGAGTTGTTTTGCCCAACAGCTAATATAGTAACAGGTTATATTAAATAAAATGTTATGCAACGGTAATTATTTACAGACCTGTACTAATAACAATCATGCTATACAAATTATAGAAAATATTTTTCTCAAAGAAAGTAGTGGGGTACCTACAAGTCATTTTTTTTTTTTTTTTTTTTTTGAGAGAGAGAGAGAAAAAAAATGGCTGTGGATCCTGGGCGAAGCGAGACAGGGACAAGTCTCCTCCCTACACTTGCTTCCCATTTTTGAACAAGTTAATAAATAAATAAGTCGGTTATTATGGGTAGCATCCTGGGAGAGAGGATCTAGAACCAGTGACAATAGTCCTCACTTTTTTTTTAATTGTAGATCATTAACTCACTGGAATTAAACCGAAGTTTAAATTCTTCGTCGTCTTGTTTTTCTCCTTTGCCTTTTATTTATTTTTCTTCCTCTTCCATGACAGATAAGGAACAGAAACCCAGTTATCGGAGGGTAATAATATAGGTAACATTACCTCATGCAAGACTTACTTCGCACAAGTCAAGAGTGACGCCCACACACCCACATACATTAACATAATCTGCCACAAGCAGAATTCCTCATAATTCAGTATTACAGCCAAAAAATTTTTTATTATACTAGTGAGAGGCCCACCATGGTTCATCTTGTATGTCAGTTTCTCAGGACGGTCACCCTGTGACACATCGTGACTATCACCCCGTGACGTCACATTATAACATGATATAGGTAAGGTCATGGGGATCGTCAGGCATAACACCAATTGATTATAAACTGGGCCCAAGAGCTGGAGCTTGATCGATGCGAACACAAGTTTTGTGAATGAATGCAGGTGAGTAATATTGGATGAGTGTATACACACACACACACACACACTAGTGAAGAGGTGGGGCCAGGAGCTAGGAATCGACCCCTTCAACCACATATAGATGAGTACATATACACACACAGATATAAGGAACACACATTACAAACCGGTAGTTGAACGTGTATTTGAACCTACATATGAACCTGTATTTGAAAATGTATTTGAACCTATGATTGAACCTGTATTTAAACGTATATTTGAACGTGTGTGCAGCAATTCCTGTACAACCTGTGGTACCTGACCTTCTCCATGCTTGGTAACATCAACTACTTCTTCTTCGCTGCTCACCTGCTGGACGTGGCCGTCTCTATCCCTTCACTCAAGACGATCCTTCAGTCCGTCACTCACAACGGCAAGCAGGTAGGTACCTACCTCCAGCCTCACCTTCTCATTCAACCTCACCCACATACATAAAAAAAAAACATAAAACACCAACACACACGAAACACCCACATACGTAAACCACTAACATAAAACACCAACAAACATAAAACACCAACAAACGTAAAACACCAACAAACATAAAACACCAAGAAACATAAAACACCAACAAACATAAAACAACACATACATAAAACACCAACATACATAAAATATTAAAATGTTTTGGAAGACATATTCGTTCATTTGTATATAAGTAAAATTATTGACAGATTCTTTAAAATAATGTAAGTTGAATCTCAGTGTATATGATGAAGGTTATGTCAACTGTACATTGTATGGGTAATCTCTAACAGTATGCCACAGTCAAATATTTCCGGTGAAGCTGGAACCCTTCAGTACTATCACTTGAAGAGGATTTCCAGCTAGTTATAAGATGTTTACATTAGTTTCCAGCTGTTCATTGTGGGTTGTTCGTATACCAGTATATACAATATTAATACAAGTTTCATATTTACAGATCCTCTGTTATATACATTATTATCTAGAAAACTTTAGGAAGCCTTTACGGTGTTCACAGTGTGATTTTTTATTGTAGTTTTATCAATTTTTATTTTTTTAACCAGTTGATGGTCTCATATGTATGTTTGGTTGCAGCTGATCTTGACTTGCATGTTGCTGACCATCATAGTCTACTGCTACACTGTCATCGCCTTCAACTTCTTCAGGAAGTTCTATATCTCGGAGGAAGATGATGTCGTCGATCAGAAGTGTCACGACATGCTCACGGTCAGTACTATATTCTGTATAATATAATATTTTGTATATATACATACATATATATATATATATATATATATATATAATATATATATATATATATATATATATATATATATATATATATATATTAACAAGGCCGTCTCCCACTGAGGCAGGGTGACCCAAAAAGAAAATACTTTCATTATTCAACACTTTCACCTCACTCACACATAATCACTGTTTTTGGAGAGGTGCTCAGAACACAACAGTTTAGAAGCATATACGTATAAAGATACACAACATATCTTTCCAAACCGTCAATATCCCGAACCCCTCCTTTAATATTATATATATAATATATTATATATATATATATATATATATATATATATATATATATATATATATATATATATATATATATATATATATATTAAAGGAGGGGTTCGGGATATTGACGGTTTGGAAAGATATGTTGTGTATCTTTATACGTATATGCTTCTAAACTGTTGTGTTCTGAGCACCTCTCCAAAAACAGTGATTATGTGTGAGTGAGGTGAAAGTGTTGAATAATGAAAGTATTTTCTTTTTGGGTCACCCTGCCTCAGTGGGAGACGGCCTTGTTAATATATATATATATATAATATATATATATATATATATATATATATAATATATATATATATATTATAATATATATATGTGCCGAATATGTAAAACTGGTCAATTAGCAAGAACTCATTTAAAATTAAGTCCTTTCTGAAATTTTCTCTTATACGTTTAAAAATATTTTTTTTCATTAATGTTAATGTAAAAAAATTTAATTTTGCACCAAAAGCATCTTAGAAAACTTACCTAACCTTATTATAACAAGAGCAATTTATTTTAGCCTAACCCAACTAAATATATTTTAAATACGTTTACAATAATTTAGTACTAAACAAACACAATCAAATATATTTGTTTCGTTAGGTTCAGAATAATTTTGGCGAAATTATTGCTTACACAAATTTTCACTTGTCTTATATGGCAAGATGAGCGTTGCTATTTAAGCCAAGATCGCAAGTTCTGCCTATTCGGCACGACATATATATATGCATACGTATATATATGCCGAAAGGTAAAACTTGCTATTTTGGCTTAAATAGCAACGCTCTTACCGAATAAGGCAAGCAAAAATTTGTGTATGCAGTAATTTCGCAAAAATCATTCTGAACCTAACGAAAAAAATATATTTCATTGTGTTTGTTTTTTATCAAATTATTGTAAAATTAACTAAAATGTGTTTAGTTGAATTAGGCTAAATTAAATTGAGCTTTTTATAATAAGGTTAGATAAGTTTTCTAAAGTTCTTTTGGTACAAAATAACTAATTTTAACTGTGAAAGTGGTTGTGTCGGCAGGTGAGTCTGTGAAAGTGGTTGTGTCGGCAGGTGGGTCTGAAAGTGGTTGTGTCGGCAGGTGGGTCTGAAAGTGGTTGTGTCGGCAGGTGGGTCTGTGGAAGATGTGACGAGTCACAGAATCAAAAATAAAAGCATCAGAAGTGTTGAAAATCTATGGAAAGATGTCAGTGGATGAAAAGAAGGGAGAGGGGGGATGTATCCTAACACAGTGATGGCAACACTTATAGGGAGGTGAGACATGGTATATCTAAGTCGGAGGTTATTGAGAATTTTGATGGTGGTTAAGTTTTGATAATAGTTTAGTTTTGATAGTGGTTAAGTTCTGATGGTGGTTAAGTTTTCATAGGGGTTAAGTTTTGATAGTGGTTAATTAAGTTTAGATGGCGGTTAAGTTTTGATAGTGGCTAAGTTTAGATGGTGGTTAAGTATAGATGGTTAAGTTTTGATGGTGGTTAAGTTTAGATGGTGGTTAAGTTTTGACAGCGGTTAAGTTTAGATGGTGGTTAAGTATAGATGGTTGTTAAGTTTTGATGGTGGTTAAGTTTAGATGGTGGTTAGGTTTAGATGGTGGTTAAGTTTAGATGGTGGTTAAGTTTTGATAAAGGTTAAGTTTTGATAATGGTTAAATTTTGATAGTGGTTAAGTTTAGATGGTGGTTAAGTATAGATGGTTGTTAAGTTTTGATGGTGGTTAAGTTTAGATGGTGGTTAAGTTTTGATAGTGGTTAAGTTTAGATGGTGGTTAAGTTTTGATAGTGGTTAAGTTTAGATGGTGGTTAAGTTTTTGATAAAGGTTAAGTTTTGAAAGTGGTTAAATTTTGATAGCGGTTAAGTTTTGATAGTGATTAAGTTTTGATTGTGGTTAAGTGTTGATGGTGATAAAGTTTATTTTTTGTTATTGTTGCAGTGTTTCGTGTTCCACCTGTACAAAGGTGTCCGGGCTGGTGGCGGCATCGGTGACGAGATAGAAGCTCCAGACGGTGATGAATATGAACTCTACCGTATCATCTTCGACATCACCTTCTTCTTCTTCATCATTGTCATCCTCTTGGCTATCATTCAGGGTAAGTCATGTCTCGTTATGTTACACATTCTCTTAAACCCACCAATTAGAGACGAAATTTAAGCGACGATATTTGTGTTAGAGCTGGACTAGTATCAAATTCAGAACCAACTAAAACTTTCTGCAAATTTAATCCGCAGTTTGTGGGTGAAAAGTAAATTGTTTCAGTCATGGATGTGTTTCTTTTATTCTAGACATTTTTTATTATTATTATTATTACTACTACAAAACCTCGTAGGGTTACTTGAACATTTTTGAGTGAGTTATCTCTGAATCCATTATTCATTTTTTTATGCATTCCAGCGCATAACATAAGGAGAGAAGTAAATAATGAAACTGACTGTTATAGGAATGCAGTTAGAAGCCTGAGTAGATCTATAACCCACTATGATAACATGATTATTATTTATTATAATCAGAACTAAGCGCTAAACCCACCAGAGTCACACAGCGCTTAAGAATAGGGTGTGGGAACTGTAATGTGCTTGATCTAAAACTAGCAATGGTGGAGACAACAGAGGTAGAATTAGTAATATAACATGAACGTAGATGAGTACGTTTATGAAGCAACTTACATTGTGTACAGACTGATGTAGTAGCCAAGCTTAGGCTTCGTTACAAGTACTTCTGTCAGTTTGGCAGACACATGATCAAACCAAATGCAAAGTATATTGTCAGCCCTATGGTCACTATCTTGAACATTATGTACTTTATTGTCCACTTATTAAGGAATATAGAGATAGTATAATAACCTATGTGATATGTCAATGTATCCTATTAATGAAAATAACATACCAGACATATTAAGCAAATTTCCTAAATTTGCTTGCAACAGATAAGTGAACCGTTGATATAAATCCAGATATACTGTTGTCAACCCTTTTTTAGGGCCTAGTCCCTAGGCCTTTTGTGTATCCATATGCTCTTGCGGTACCGTCCACAGGAAGGCTACATATGGGGTGCACAATCAACTAGCTGCTTCGGCGGCAAAATCTAAAATCTGACGCAGAGTTTGACAGTAGTCCTGTCAAAGTTTATATTTGGTTATGTCTACATCAGCTGGTGATGCAAACTCCCAGAGGTACTTGTATTATTATAATCATAACTAAGCTCTAAGAAGTACTTGTAGCCAAGCAGAAACCTGGAAGTGTCATCAAGGAGTCTGCTGATATTGTTCCAGTCACAGTATTTTGCCTTTTTGTTCTTTACAATAAAATTTGCGTGGAAGACTAGGCTACAAATACAGCTACATATGTTAAGGAGTCTGCTGATTTTGTTGCATGTGTCATAGATGTGCGGCTCCTGTGTGATAGTGATGATAAATGGACTGATTAGTGTCAGTATCCCTCTGTTTCAAGTTAATGAAATTCAGTTGAAGTTCTGTTTTGCAAGATACAAGCAACACATGACCAGACGATACTTATACAAGACTTACCCTATTATATAGAATTTGTAAATCAGGAAACGTTTGAGAAATGTAGAATCTGTTGTCCCTTAACTTTCAGATTTTTATACTCTCAAAATAATTTCTCTATATTCTTTAGGATATTTGATTTTCAGACACTTTAGGTAATATTGTCATTCAGATGGTCGATACTTGTGTTCGCTGCCTTCATGTTAATTTTTTCCCATAGGTCTTATCATCGATGCCTTTGGTGAGCTGAGAGATCAGTTGGAGTCAGTGAAGGAGAACCTGGAGAGCAATTGCTTCATCTGTGGTATAGGCAGTGACTACTTCGATGCTGTTCCGCATGGCTTCGATATGCACGTCCTCAAGGAACATAATTTAGCTAACTACATGTAAGTTTATTGCACTTGTTAAGGTTTTGTTGCTTACATTTGATAACTATTTCAGAAACCAGTTCAAACTGGACTAGCATAGTGTTGGGTGGCTGTGGTAATGGGATAGTAATCCAACCGTGCCCATTACAAATATACCCAAGAGCAGCATTAATTTCTAATTTGGATTAAGCAAGTTCCCAGAGCGCTACCGCATCCGCATTTCCTGTGCTAGTCGGTATAGGAATGAATGGGTTGGCTCTTAAACACAGTTCTAGCCTAACATAATTATTACCTTTCCTGAGAGTTTGACAGTTGTGGAAAATTTTGGATTTTCTTAAATTCAGCATGTGTAAATTTGAATAATACAATAATTGTGTGATAAAATATTATGCTGATTTGGCCATTTCGAGTAAGGGGGGTGTAGAACAGCTGCTGGGGGATACCAGTGAAAAGCCATGTTGAATTTAATGTGTGAGCACTGGTCTTAATTGTGCAATGTAATTTGGCGTTTTCCGAGGCCAAATTGGTGTATACCGGTCTCAATTCGTAATTTAGAAATTGCTGACACGTTCCTGCTGAAGACTCGGGACAGGAAATTTATGGGACCTCAAGAATTGCATGTGGATGGCCGAAAATAAATGCGGACATCACTCACAGAGAAGTGCATCATAGTCTTTGCATTTAGATCACTAGCTGGCCAGTGTAGGGTCTAGGTGTTCAGCAGGTGTTGTGGTGTGATCCATCTACAGTAATTAAATGGTAAGTGTTAATACCAATTATATTTGTTGTTCCCAGCAAGCTTAATCCTGTACAGTCCACACAACTTTAATTACCAGAGTAGCTGGTAATTAATATTATTATAATTTAATATTATAATTATTAACTTAATGTCAGGTCTAGCTTTTTGTGAAAGTGGAGAGGAAGTGGGCATTCGAAGGAGTTCCAGTTCAGCGACCTACTGTGACTAAGTTTCACTTATCTCACCCAAATTACTTGCAGGCAATAATTCAGGTAATGCCCTGTAAACCTCCTGCATGTAATTTACAAGGTGAGCGTGTGTGTCAGCGTGTCAGCGTGCCTCGTTGTGCTCCGGGTTTTCTCGTGTTTTCACGGTCGCTCTTACGTGCTAGAACTTTAATTTGTGCCATCAATCCTATACGATACATCCCTCTAGCGCCTGGAACCAATCTTGGGCGGAAAACATTATATACTGAGTCAAAAAAGGAGAATTAGTGTGCACTACCTAGCAGAGTTTACTGCCAGAGGGGAATCATAGGCCTGTGTTCCGTGTGCAAAAATAATAATAATAGAACTTTTCTTTGTCAGAGGAAAGAAAGTCTCACTGATAACATTGTGTATACACAGTGTATAGTGTATACTACAGTGGCTCCCTAGTATATAGATGATAAAGGCTAAAGTGTCATTTGAAAATAGGTGAATTTGTAAATGAAGTGATAAGCCTATAGAGGCAGGTGCCAGAAGTCGCCAGAAACTTACCACAGAGGTCAGCTGTTTTAATAATCTTCCTGGCCTGCTAGTGTACACGCATATAATCTAGTGATACCAGTGAATAGCAGAATACAGTGTTGTAGTAGCAACTAACCAGTATTATAATGGTACTTAGTGGAGTGGAGTGACTTTCATTAGTTTCTTTTCTCTTGAAATACCAGACGTTACTGTGAATGTCATATAACCTGTAGTTACCAGCGGTCGCAATATACACAACGAGAAGCAATTATTACTACAGAAAAAGCGTCCTTCCTCCAAAATTTCCACCAGTCAACTATAGTGATAATATAGCATTTATTGTGGTGGAGACGAAAAAAAACTAGAAAAGTTAGATACAGCTATTGATAAACAAGGGTTGAGGCTCGACCGTTCGTCATTGGAGGAGCTGCCAGCAGTCACCGGTTCTTCAACACGCAAGTTATACTTTTGTATCAGTCAAATCACATATTACTCGGGTAGATAATTTCTAGGAGATCCTTCATGTGTTAGCCCAAATCACCGACCAGTATGTTTTAAATAAGTGACCCACTGATCAGATCAGACTGGTTCCGAACCCTCGACTGGTCCGAACCCTCGACTGGTCCGAACCCTTGACTAGTCCGAACCCTTGACTGGTTTCAAACGGATTCGTTGGACAATAAAGCAGACTGTAAACGGATGGGGTTGTAGGCGCCTTTATCAAACACAAACAATAAATATAAATCAGGAACGTACATGGTAAGCTGTCCAATATACAAGTACAGTTAGAAATAGAAATACAAATAGCTAGAGCTTCATTTAAGGAGGTTATTAATAGAGTATTCAAGAGGTTGCTAGTAGAATTACAGTAAATCAACCACTCAAATCATTATGAAGCTCTGTGTAGTCTGCAGTCAATCAATCAATTTTTGTGGAAATTGGTGTCACGCCCCTTGTGCAGATATCCAAGAACTAGCTACAAGCAGTATTAAAACAGGGAAGTGTTTTTGGGTATGCCCAAATGAGATAAATCTGTGGACTAAAATCACAAGGGTATTAAAAGAGGATAACATCAAAGCTGCTTTCATAGAAAACCTGGAAGCTTTCTACAACAGATGGGAACATAAAAAGTCTGGGCTGAATGGTACTGCCCTTGATACTGGCCATGTAGTCAGAAACTGTAAGGCTGGAGGTGATGTCCTGGTAGTCAGTAAATGTGGGGCTGATAGTGCTGTCCTGGGAGACAGTAATGGTGAAGCTGGAGGTGCTGTCCTGGGAGACAGTAATGGTGAAGCTGGAGGTGCTGTCCTGGGAGACAGTAATGGTGAAGCTGGAGGTGCTGTCCTGGGAGACAGTAATGGTGAAGCTGGAGATTTTGTCCAGGTAGTCGGGAATTATACGCAGGAAGGAATACATATAAATGACCTCATAGGGGACAGGAGCCGTAATGGGGAAACAAGTGTAGTCAAAGATAAGATAAAACCAATATTGCAAACTAGAAATACCACAGGAAATAGCAAACAATAGGACTCCACTAGCAATAGTGAGGATATATTACCAAAAACAACTGGTGGGAGCTCCATTGTTGGTGCTAGGGAGGATAGGAATAAGACAGGTAAACATGCACCAACAGGGAATACAGTCACAGAAACCCAAGGCAAACGGAAACCAAGCCTGTGCACATACTATGCACTTGGTATCTGCAGACATGGGAAATCTGGAAAAACAGACGGGACAACAGGAAAATGCAAACTCCCTTCCTGTAAGCTTTTTCACCCTGAAATGTGTACCTCTTCAGTACAGGAAAGACTGTGCTATAACTTAAATTGCCAGGCACACCATCTAAAGGGGACAAAAAGATACAAAACATCCAGGCCATGAAAAAACATAGGTAGCCACAGCCACTCAAGAGGGAGAGGTTTTTTAGTGCCAGGAAGGAAAAAAAACTGGCAGGAAATGGCAGAAATCGTACACCAAATCCAGTCATTCCTGGAGTGGAACCACAGTCGATGGCCTCCACTCCAAACCAACAGATACCGATACTAATGCCGGAAATAAATCCCCCCCCCCCAGTACCAACAATACCACCAGTCCGATGACATTCTTCTTTGCAAATATACAGGGTCTAAAGCCAGCAACAAACAACAAAATACCTTTCATCCGTGGACTGCTTGCAGAGGCAAAGGCAATGTTCGCGGCTTTCACTGAGACCCACATAAAGGATCACTTGGACAACGAAATATGGATGCCAGGTTACAACCTATACAGATGTGACAGAGTGAACAGGCAAAAGGGGGGGATGGTTGGCCTGTACATTGCAGAGTCACTTGTTTGCACAGAACTGCTTAATGCCTCAAATGATGTAGTGGAAGTTTTAGCAGTAAAGATCGAGAACCAAAACTTAGTCATTGTGGTAGTCTACAAGCCTCTGGATGCAACATCCCAGCAATTCCAGGAACAGCTGTTAAAAATTGACCACTGTCTGGAAAATCTTCCAGCTCCTGCACCCAACATCTTGCTCCTGGGGGATTTCAACTTAAGGCACCTAAAATGGAGGAATATAGCAAATAATATTGTTGCAGTAATAGCACCAGGAGGCAGCTCTGATGAAAACTCACACTCACACGAGCTTTTAAATCACTGCATAAAGTTCAATTTAAACCAGCAAATAATAGAGCCTACTAGACTGGAGAATACACTAGACCTCATCTTCACTAACAATGATGATCTGATAAGAAATGTCACCATATCAAAAACAATATACTCAGATCACAACATAATTGAGGTTCAGACATGTATGCGCGGAGCCCCAGACCGACATAATGAGATTAGTCACGAGGGAGCATTCACCAAATTCAACTTCAATAACAAAAACATAAAGTGGGACCAAGTAAACCAATTCCTAACCGATATAAGCTGGGAAGATATACTAAGCAACACAGACCCCAACTTATGCCTAGAACAGATTAACTTGGTGGCACTCGATGTATGCACAAGGTTTATTTCTCTAAGAAAAAGGAGGAGTAGATGTAAAATAGAAAGAGACAGGCGCTCCCTTTACAGGCGACGGAAAAGAATAACAGAGCGGCTAAAAGAGGTCAATATATCTGAAATGCGTAGGGAGACACTGGTCAGAGAAATAGCAAGCATCGAACTTAAGCTAAATGAATCTTATAGGAGTCAGGAAAACGCGGAAGAACTAAAAGCCATAAATGAAATCGGAAGAAACCCAAAGTATTTCTTTCCT